GACTAGCTTGTGCAAGGCCAAGGGTTCCATCTCCAGTAGTGAGGGCTGGGGGGGAAGGTCATCCACAAAATGAGGATGGAAACATGTTTTCCCTCCTTCTCTCCCTCCCTTCCTTCCAAATGAAAAACTTTTAAGTCACTTACAATCCCATTGACCTCTGCAAACTTTTTCTTAGCCAAGGTGTTTTCCATGTATATTACATATATATAGATTTTTACAAATATGGCCCTATGTTGCACACACACCTCTTGGCTTTTATCAGGAACAGTATCAGGTAGTATCTCATGGTGTCTTTTCACACCAGTGACTATGACTGTACAGCACCAGCTCTGAAAAGGTTTATTGAAGTACAGTGGTCAGGCTGTCCAATTCACCCTTTTGGTGAATAATTATGAGTTTAACAAACACAGTCCTGGAGCCTCCCCCCCTCCAATCAAGGAACATCCCATTATTCCCCGAATCCCTCTTGGTTCTTTGTAGTCTCTGATCCTACCCCGAGACCCTGTCAATCATTTGTCTGTTTTCTGTCCCATAGTTTTTGCCTTTTCTAAGTTGTCTTAGCAGAATCAGAGCTTACTGTTTACAGCTCTTCCCCTAAGACTCACTCAAGACTCACCAAGGCTATTGTTATCTCTCCCCTCCCCCACGCCCGTTTCATCTCAAGGTGGCCTAATATTCTACAGTACAGATGCACACAGAGGGGACATGCCTCACTGCTGTTCCTAAAGCAGGCCCCTCCATCCCCAGATCCACTCCTCTCCGGCTTCCACAGTGACCACAACAGACCAGTACAATGAGATCAGGCCAAATCTGAAGTCTCCATTCAGTGGGATCTTTGCGTAGTCCAAGGGCCACCCTCCAGGAAAGGAAACTAGTGTCCTGGGCACAGTCAGGTCCTCACCTGCACCCCCAGGCTGTGCCTCCTACTTCTAGTACTGCTACAAAAGTCACCTCCAGCTCCCAGAGGGTCACCAAGTTCTCTGGTGGGGATATTCTTTCTCCCCCAGCTTTTATTCTGCTCATTTTCCAGAGATACCCTTGAGGTCTCTCTCTCTCTCTCTCTCTGCCTCACACACACACACACAGGCACACTGCATTCACAATACACTCACAACCCAGAACAAGCACTCAAACTCAAAGACAGAAGATCATTTCAAAAGCAGAAGATCTTGTCCCCACTATCCCTAGGCAACTCACTTCTCCCTGGGGAATAGGGCAGAACAGGCAAGTTCTTCATGATGACCAGTCTTCATGATGACTCCCTCAGTCCCATGCTGTCCCAGCAAACACTGTAGCAATCCCTCTGATAGTCTTGACCAGTTTCAAAGCCAGGCAGTTTCTTCCAGCATCACTTGCATGAAATTCCTTGCACAAATGTTTGTGCACAGTTGCCCAGGATTTTCAGTGTTCAGGTCTGAAGAGTCTTTAAAAGATGCCTCTGTCTACCCAGGAGATTAAGAGTGGTCCAAGGAGAGCCCAGCACCTTGGCTGAGACAGGGGACACTACAGATAAAATAATTGTTTTTAGAAGATACATAGCTGGAGGGGCCTGCTCCAGGGACATTCAGGCAGAGCTATACTTGAAACTGGAGTTTTGGACCCAAGGCCCAAACTCCTGAGATTCCATATGCCAGATTCAGCCACCTGTCCCTAAACACCAAATAAAGAGGCATGGTGAAGGTAGAGAAAAGAGATTTATCACATGGCTCGGGAAATGCTTTGGGAAGAGACAGAGTAAGCACTTAGCTCATCTTCAGCCATCTTTGGGTTTAAGTAGACAAAGAACTGGGGGCAGGGGACAAAGGTGTGCATAGTTAAACAATCCCAGTCACAGGTGTGGTCTGGTTGACCATTATCTCAGTCCAAGGGTTCCCTGAGGGGTTCCAGAGATGATGTCATCACTGTCATCACTTGAGGGGAGCAGTCTGGTTCCCTTGAGATGATTGCTCCTGCTGCAGGGTGCAGCCTCACCATTACAGGTCATTGTCCTCATTTGGAGAGGTGTCTGTCCTGCAAGTCTCCACTATTCCTTATGGGGAGTTTCAGTCCCTTGTCATAAAGATGTTATCAGTTCTGTCCTTTCTGGAATCCAAGGTGATCACAAAGTGACTGAAAGAGAATGGCTCAGAGCAAAGACAGATACGAAATGGAGGCAGGGATGCCAAGCTTCTCCTGTTTTTAGTTGATTGGTGGGCCCAAGTAAGGAATCAGTGCTTTTCAGCAAAAGCAGTTTGAGCACCTCTTGCATACCCTCAGGAGAGCAGGAGCTGGGCCCACAGATGGGAAGGCTGGAGGGGGGAGCCAGGGGGATTATACTCAGGCCTCCTGGCTGCCAAGTGAGTGTCCTGAGGTCTGGGCAGCTTTAAGGCCTGGACAGGTGGGTGGGTGAGTGGGAGGCTGGGAGAAGGAGTGGAAGGCCAAGAGGATGCTGGGCTGAACCACTTGTCTCTTCCTCTCAGCCCTGTGGTCTGAGCCAGAGCTTGGGTAGTGGCTGAGAGAAAACGCTGAGGGAGTATAGTAATACAGAGCCAGAGGAGTGGGGAGACCAGGATGGAAGGGGAAAAGACAGTGAGGAGGGAGAAGATGGCAAAGGCTGGGCCCACCTATTCCATAGGTTGGTCTGAGCACCACCACACTCCTGCTACAGATTTCACATAAGACAGACAGGAGACTCAGGACTGTCAATATGGTGCTTCCTCCTGACTTTATCTCTACGAAGGAACTGCTGGAGCAGTGCGTGTGATTTTGTTGGATCACTGTCACACTGGCTTCCAGAAAGTCCCTCCTAAACTGTGTCAATCCCCTCACACCTTGAGCATGTGGCATCAATTCCTTTTTTTTTTTTTTGTGGTACTAAGATTTGAACTCAGGGGCTACACCTTGAGCCACTCCACCAGCCCTTTTTTGTCTTGAGTTTTTTTCGAGATAGGGTCTCGAGAACTATTTGCCCTGGCTGGCTTTGAACCTTAATCCTCCCGATCTTTGTCTCCTGAGTAGCTAGGATTACATTTGTGGGCCACCGGCGCCAGGCCTGCAATCAATTCTTATATGTTTAATAACCCAATAGATTAAAACATTCTCACTCAAACGCGCACTTCTCTAAGGACTGCACAGGTTTGATGATCTGGTTGTAAGTGTATCCACTGGGATGTCTTCTGAAAATTGACCATTCTTGTTTCTTTGACAATTCTTCTACCATCTTTTTCTTACAGTGAAAATTTTATTATTTCCCCTCTTTTCTTGGTTTTATGCTTTTTAGCATTTCTTCAGCTTTATAATTACAAGAACTAGTCTTAATTTCAAAATGTATCATACTTCCCAATTTGTCTTTTGAATTTTTTTTTTTGTGGCAATACTGTTAACGATGCTGGTGCAGTCTGTGATCAGAAGACTTCCAAATTCTTTGTATCCCATCGGGAAGAATCCATGGCAGGACACGTGGGTGTAAAGGGAATTTAATTAAAAGTTAGGGAGGGGAATCACAAGAGGGAGCATGGTGGGTGCGGGTGCGGGTGGAATCTGGAGGCAGAGGGAGCGTGCTTCTCTTCCCCAGGTGCTTTTAAAACCTATGATAACCTATGGGAAGGGAGGAACCAGTGAGGAGGGGCATGGGTGGTTCCCGGCCAGGTGAGGGCAGTGCCTGACCAAAGCATGGTTAATCTAAGATGTAATAGTTTTCTATGAGCCCCAGCTTTCCCTAATTTTAGCCTGCCTCAGGACTAGGGTTTTTTTTTTTTTTTTTGGTGGGACTAGGGTTTGAACTCAGGCTTCATCCTCACAAAGCAGGCACTCTAATGCTTGAGCTATAGCTCCAGTCCATTTTGCTCTGGTTATTTTGGAGGTGGGGGTCTCATGAACTGTTTGCCAGGGCTGACCTTGAATCTCCCAAGTAGCTAGGATTATAGTCAAGAGCCACCAGCACTTGAACTCAGGGCTTCACGCTTGCTAGGCAGGCTCTACCACCTGAGTTAGCCCTTAAGCATTCCTTTTTTTTGGCTTTAGTTATTTTTTAGCTAGGGTCTTGCTTTTTCCCCTGGGGCAGTCTTGGACCACAGTCCTCCTATCTCTGCCTCCCAAGTACCTGGTATTATAGGCCTGCACCACTATGCCAGGTTTGGAGTTTAATTTTTAAACACATTTTAATTTATTTTTGAGACAGGGCCTCACTGTTGTTAAGTCTAGGCAGGGTCTCCTGAGTGCTTAGATTACAGGTGTGCACCACCAAGCCCCACCACATTTTAAATTTGCTGGTGGCTCACACCTGTAATCCTAGTTTCTTAGGAGGCACAGATCAATAGGATTTGGGTTCAAAGCCACCCGAGCAAATAGTCCACAAGCCCCTATCTCGAAAACACCCGTTACAGAAAAGGGCTGATGGAGCGGCTCAAAGTGTGGAACCTGAATTCAACCCCCCTCAAAAAAAAGTACGGCAAAAAAAAAAAATTGTTATGTGGTCCAGTTCAGCATTCTTCTCCTATAGTATTTCCAAATTTAATGTGATACATGGAGCATAAAAATATTCATCGACTTTTTGCCGTTATGGTTTTGGTTTCTTTTTCAGATTTAAATGTTTGATCCATCTGGAATTTATTTGGTGTTAAGTAGTGAGGGAGGGCGCCAATTTCTATTTTTCCAAATGGCCGGCCAGTTGTTCCAAAGCAGTTCGGCTGAAAAACCTTTTGTGCGCATTTGAAGCGGCCGTTGCACAACTCATTCGCGTGTAGCCTGGGCTCCCGGACCCTGCAGGTGCCGCGTCACCCACCAGAACAGGCAGCCAGGACTAGGCCCCGCCCCTGGCTGACAAAGCCCCGCCCAGCCCAGGTCGAGGATCCGCCCAGCCCAGGTCGAGGATCCGCCCCCGGCTAGTACGAGGCTCCGCCCCTGGCGGAGGACAAAGCCCCGCCCACCCCAGGACGAAGACCCACCCTGGCTGAGCACAAGTCCAGCTGAGGATGAGCTCCCTCACCGAGGCCCCGCCCCAGACTGAACGACGAGGCTCCTCTCCCTACTGAGGACAAGGCCCCGCCCAGCCCAGGACGAGGCCCTGCCTTCGGCTAAGGACAAGCCCCGCTGAGGTCGAATTCTCCCACCGAGGCCCCGTCCCCGGCTGAGGACAAGGCTCCGCCCGCGCTCGGCATCTCCTCCTCGCTGTACCCGGGCTCAAAGTAATTTAAATAGAAGACGTGTCCACGGGTGTTATTTACATATTTGCATCCAGGCGGGACCTAGGGAGCGGAGCCCAGGACCGCTACAAGGCTCCCACCAGCTCTAAAGGCGAGTCCCGTGAAAGGACCTCATTTGCATAGGGCAGGGCCTCCGGGGGAGACGGTACGGCTTCCTCTTCCCGCTGGCTTCCGTCCGCTTTCCTTCCGCGGTCGCCGGCTTTCCTTCCGGCCTCCACCTGCCTTTCTTCCGCGGGTCTCCCGGTGTCGCCAGAGACGGTTCCGGGATGCTCCCGAGACGACGGCGAGTGCGGACCCGGTCCCTTGACGACGCAGCCGCCTCCTCCGCGCTGCCCTCGGCGCGCTTCCCCGGCGTCGCCATCTACCTGGCCGAGCCGCGCATGGGCCGCAGCCGCCGGGCCTTCCTCACGCGCTTGGCGCGGTCCAAAGGCTTCCGCGTCCTCGACGCCTACAGGTGTGCGACAACCCTCCCAATCCAGGACGGTCCCGCACGGGGCATAGGCGGCGGCCCTCTGTTGGAGGGGTGTCATCCTCGCGTGGGACCACCGACCGCGGAGGCCGCAGAGATTCGGGTTGCAGATGGCGCGCAGCTGCGGGGCCGCAGCACCTGCGACTTTGGGTTCCAAGTTGGCTCTGAACTTTTCTCCAGCCCTGTCTGTAAAGGGTGCTGTTAATGACAGCCAGGCGTGTTCTATAGGGTCGCCGAGAATCAAGACAGGGTTTTTAAAGAGCCATGCAGGTAGGGTAATTAGGAAGGAGTAGTATTTACTAGTGGCTCCTCTGTTCCATGAGTCAAACAGCCATCAGGAGGCTCCGAGCGTGCAAAGAAGTAACTGACTGCCCCTCCTGTAGGGAGGGAATCAAGAGAATGCCCAGGGGAGACAGTAGCTTTGAGACGGGGGAGAGGAGAACAAAGGATGGGGGTGGGGTGGGGTTCCTGCAGTCTTCCCTGCAGCTTAAACATTCTCAGGGTCAAGTGCACCACACATCCTCAAGAGCAGATGGGGATAGCACCTTCTAGCTCATAGGGGACTGGTTATTTTTACACCAGCCCTGTAAGATAGGTTATCTCTGCTTTAAGGAGAAGGAAGTAAGCCCGGAGCCAGGGGCTCACTCCTGTCCTTCTAACTACTTGGGAGACTGAGATGGGGAGAATCACAGTTCAAAGCCAGCCTGGGCAAATAGTTCTCAAGACCACCATCTCCAAAATAACCAAAGCAAAATGGACTTGAGGTGTGGCTCAAGAGGTAGAGAGCCAGTTTTGCAATGCGAAGCCTAAAGTTCAAACTCTAGTTAGTCCCACCAAAAAAAAAACCCAAGGAAGTACAAAACGAGACTTACCAGAGGGCACACAGCAAGGGTGTACAGGGCAGGGTTCACACAAACGCAGGCAGGCATGGGTATCTGCTTAAACCCCAGCACCAGGATGAGGACCATCTGGTCCCCAGCCTCTGGAGCTCTTTTCTCTGAGGTGGAGAGGTAGATAGACAAGTTAACACAGGCTGGCTTGTGAGCATAGCTGGAGCAGAAACCCACAATTCTGACAGTGGTGGAGGTGTTTGTCTACCAAGAGGAGGGGCTGGGAAGGGTTTCTGAACAAGTACTGTTAGAAGAATAAAGGGCAGTCACTATACAGAGGGCACAGCAAGAACAAAGGCTTGGGGATATACAGTAAATCAGGTAGGGGCCTGGGTTTCACTGTCCTCCCCTCCCCCAGCTCTGAGGTGACACATGTGGTGATGGAGCAGACCTCAGCCCAGGAGGCCATCTGTTGGCAGGAGCATATGACTGCTACTTCCCCAGGCAGACCCCACCCTGCTCTGCTGGACATCAGCTGGTTCACAGAGAGCATGGCTGCTGGGCATCCTGTCCTTGTGGAGGTCCGGCACCGTCTGGAGGTGAGCTAGCGCAGGCCTGGCTCAGTTGAGACATGAGATGGCAGTGGTCCTCCAGAGGAGGTGGGCAGTGAGAGCTCTCCATAGCCTCTGGGGCCCTGAGGACCCAGTGAGAGGCCACAGCAGGGACTCAGGGGCTGGGCCACCCCAGTTCCTGCCCTCACCACTTGGGGTCCACTTATTTTCAGCATCATCAGGTTTTTCTTCCTCACTGAGTACTTGTGATGATGGTGGGCTGGCAGGAGCCCCTCCCCAGGATGCTCGGGAGCCGGGCTTGCCTGCACCTAAGGTCCTGGCTGTGCTTATGAGCCATGAGGCAGGAGGCACTGTCCGAAACCTTTTGAGACCCCAGTGCCCCATCCCGCTCGACTGAGCACATGGGCAGCATGTGCAGAGGCAGGAATGTGCTCCCTGATGGCTGGCAGGTGTTGCTGTGGCCTGCAGGGCCTTGTCCTTAACCTGTTCTCCAGGGCAGTGCCTCCCTCTGTTCAAGCCTTTCCTAGTTTTGTTGCCCTCTAACTTTGCTACCTCTGTCCTGTGAGTGACAGCAGAGGTGAATGCTAAGGAGAGGCAAGGGTCTAAGTGTTGCCTAGCTCTCTTGCTGGTCCTGCAGCTCGTGAATGATCTATACATTGCCCTTCCTCAGGTGGCTGAACCCAGGAAGGGGCCCTCCAGCCCCACATGGATGCCACCCTATGCCTGTCAGCGTCCCACACCTCTCACACATCATAATACTACCCTTTCGGTGAGCTGCGTCTTTGAGCAGGTCCCAGCATGGAGGGACTGGAAACATGGGCATAGCTGGTTGGTGGCTGGTGAGTTGGGGCAAGGCACCCTGCCCACCTTGCCTCTTAACCAAGGACCTCCACCCCCACGCCCTGCAGGAGGCTCTGGAGACACTGGCGGAGGCAGCAGGCTTTGAAGGCAGTGAGGGCCGACTTCTCTCCTTCCGCAGAGCAGCCTCAGTGCTCAGGGCCCTACCGGCCCTGTCACATCCCTAAGTCAGCTGCAGGGGCTGCCCCACTTTGGAAAACATTCCTCTAGGGTGGTCCAGGTAGGTGCCTGCCATGCTGAGTGGGGTGAGTGGGTGGGGTGGGGAGGCAGGGGACACAGTGACTTAGAGTGCACCCAGATGTGTGCATACAGATGCTGCTCCAGGGCCACAGCAAGCCAGCCTTGGCACAGAGTCCGTATGTACAAGTTGCTCATCTACCTCAGGGTGACTGACAGGAGTCAAGGAAGGGAGGTGATGGCATTGGTGTCACCATCATCAGTCCCAGAATGCCCAGGACAGTGGAAGAAAGCACCTTTAGTACAAGTTTTTGTGGCCACAATGTGTTGAACTACCTCTTTTGTGCCCTTTGACTTCCAGAACCCATAATGGGGTCCTGGGGTGTAGCTCAAGTGGTAGAGTGCTTGCCTAGCAAGTGGGAGGCCCTGAGTTCAAACTTCAGTACTGCTCCCCCCCCAAAAAAAAGGTGGTAAAAGATGCTTTTAAATGAATTTATATACATTTTGAAAAGCACGTTTATATATTCTGATACTTGTTAGTCACCTGGAAGATGACTCATATTACCTCGATCCCTGAGGGGCTTTGAGGCTGGAGCCCCTACCACCCTCAAGCTGAGGCAGCAGACTGTCCCAGCTGGGCAGACTCCATTGCCACATCCTGCTGAATGTGGACAACACATAGCCCCTCTGCAGGGTGCATAGGGGACCACCCATTCTTTGGCCCCATCTGTGACTGTTCTCTTTCTTTGCAGTCCCTTAGGCTCAGAGTTTGCTTTGTCTCCTCCCACAGGAACTGCTGGAGCATGGAGCCTGTGAGGAGGTGGAGAGAGTTTGCTGCTCAGAGAGGTACCGGACCATGAAGGTGCGCAGCTGGGGCACACAACACAGTCCATGGCCTGTATGGGGAGGCCAGCAGGGGTGGCTGACCCAGCCCTGGGGTCAGAGAAGGTCTCACTAAGGAAATGACAGCTGAGCTGACACCTGATCTGCAGCAGGCTGTCAAGTGGAGACAAGCAGGCAAAAGCTTGTTTTGAGTCTAGGGAGTTTTCTAGATCACCCAGAACCATCTGTTCTTATTGGATTACTTTTGATGGACTATTCTCTTGCATGTTAAGCAGCACACTGAACAAAGTGTAACATTTATGTGGTGGGACATCGTGCAGGGCTGCCACCCTGCATCACTTCATCTCATGTATCACTTCCTGGGGGCTGTTGGGCCTGCCTGTCTCCCTGATGCACAGAGGAAAACCTGTTTGTAGCTGGAGGTTAGATTAGTGGCCTCATGTGTTAGTGGCCTCCTAGGAAGTTGAGGCCATAGTTGCTGTGGAAGATCTCACAGAATGCTGTCAGCATCAACAGGGAGGGGTTAGGAGGGAGCCTTCAGCCATATGTAAAGCAGCACAATGCTTTGGGCTGGCTGTGCAGGGTGGAGCAAACAGGCGATTTTGATGTTGAGGTAGGTAGGTGAGTGGTTTGCCCTCAGCCCTAACCCTAGTGAAGGTTTCCTGGGCAGAGGAGAGGGAAGCACTGAGAGGTGTTGGAGCTACGTCTGCCTTGTCCTCTACCTTGTCTCCTCTTGGGCACCCCAAAGTCCCAGAAAGCATCCAGGCCAGCAGAAAAAAGTCAGGCTCTGTTGCTTACAGTATCAGTGGCCTGCTTCATGCAATGGGTTCAGAGAATCAAGGAAAAGATGCCCAGCAAAGCTCAGAAAGGGCAGAGCTGCAGCCATTCTTTATCCCCTCTGCCTTTCTGCACAGCAGCTCCATCCTCTCTTCACACACATCAGCATCCTTCTCTGCTAAGAGGCAGGCCCCTGGACTTGCACCATGTGTACAGCCTCCACCACTGTGGACCGCTCTCAGTCTCATTCCAAGGTCCTTTGGGAGAATCTGAGTGGTTGGCCCAGGGCAGGTGATATGCTTGGTCCAGGATCTCCCTGGACTGGTTGACACTTGAATCCTCCTCCTCCCACCTACCGTGTGGGAGAGACTCCATAAGCCACACCACACCTGCTATGTTGGGACCTCAGGCAAGCCCAGCCAGCCCCTCTAGTGCATCTGGAAACCACCCCCTTGTTGGTTGACTCCACCTCCTTGTTGGTTGACCCTTTGCTGCTTGTTGAGGAGAAGCACAGAAATAGGTTCCAGATGGGTGGGCGAGGCATGGTTTTCCAGTGAACTAAGCTGGCTCATTAGGATGACTGTTGTTGGAAGCACAGGCTGGACCCTGTGTGAGTTTGGGGCAAGACTTTGTAGAGGGATGAGGTAGCTCATCAAGGTCTTTCAGCAGTTGGGCAGCAGAGCCCCCAACATGCTGCCTTCCTGGGGCTGCTCCCAGGTATGTGGGTTGACTTCTCTGTGAGAGTAGTCTGTGCAGGCAGATTCAAGGTTTTGAGTCCTGGCCCTGTGACCTTGGGCACAAGGACAGTATCCCCAGGTGCATCTTCCCATGGAGCTTTGTTCCTGACTCAACTGCCCCTTCCTCCACACAGCTCTTCACCCATATCTTTGGGGTTGGGGTGAGGACTGCTGACCGGTGGTACCAGGAAGGGCTGCGAACCCTGGATGAGCTCCGAGAGCAGCCCCAGAGACTGACCCAGCAGCAGAAAGCAGGTGAGTCCCTAGTGAGGGCTGGCCCTGGGCTTCCCCAGAAGCTGGATCTGGAGGCTGCTGCATGTGGTAGCTTGTTGCACTGGCCTGGACGTGCTGATTGCCTGAGTGATGGGCAGCCAGTGCAGAAGGGTCTTGGTAGCAGATGCGTAGGTTTCTAGGTGTCTCCCCCCTGCAGTCAGGACCTACTGTGGCTCTTCCTCAGTGAGTAATTATGGTCGCAGCACCACTGTGGCATCTGGGGTTCCTATCAGATGTGGACCTGGGTGAGGGACAGTGTAGCTCTCAGGCCAACTTGTCTAGCATGGGGCTTGGTGTGCATGAGCATGTGGAGGCCTGCAGAGGAGATGCCATCATGAGTGGAAAGAACTTAAACTCGAGGTTTGGTTGGCTCTGGTTTACCAGCTGGGGACCATGGGCCCAAGCCTAACACTTTTGAGCCTCAGTGACCTTTTCCATGAAATGGGGAGAAATGACAGTGTGGTATTCTCTAACCTCCCCTGGGATTGTGAGCAGACACTCTCTGTCCAAGTGGCTTGCCTGGTCGCTCTAGGGTACCGTCTGGACCCACCCTGGCTGAGGGATCTGCTGAGGGACACTGAAGCCCAGCAGTACTGCCAGCTCACTGTCTTTGCACATCTCCCTGAGGTGCTGCTTGGCTCAGGTGACAGGCACTGAGACCTGCACAGTTGCCTGTCCCCATCACAAGGGTAGACAGGATGATCAGCAACATTTACTTAGAGCTTGCTCTGAGCCCAGTGCTGCCGTTGCTATGTTTCAATCTCCTTAACTGTATGTGAAAGGACAGATTCCCATTTGACTAATGGGAGGGGTCCTAGTGGCAGAGCTATCTTCTTTGTGTCTTTTTACCACCTCTTGGTTGTATTTGATGAATGGGGAAACTGAAGCCTCACGAGAGATACCCGCACCTTGGTGTCAATCTCAGTAATCTTACTTACACAGTTCTATAGTTTTTGTTTTTGTTTTTTGCAGGGCTAGGGGTTGAACCTAGGGCCTTAGCACCTGTTAAACAAGCCGAACCCATCCCTGATTCTACTCTAGTTTTGCAAGGTGTTACCTTTGTCCAAGGCTGGGTAAAGGGCACAGGGGACCTCTTTTGTTTCCTTCACCTGCATGTGGATCTACAATTATCTCAAAATAAGAATGTAATTAAGCCAGGTGCCAATGGCTCACACCTGTAATCTCAGCTACTCAGGAGTCAAGAGATCAGGGGGATCGAGGTTTGAAGCCAGCCCGGGCAAAAAAAGAATTTAATATTAAAAGGGGGGAGGGGAGTACTTTAGTGATTCTGTTGAGATCTCACTCTGCTCTGCTCTAGTCTCTCCCCACTCTGCCCCATGGGGCCAGGTGACCACCTTGTTCTGGAGGATGGGGGAGACAGGCTGAGTGAGTCAGGAGGACTGTGCTGCCCACAGGGCTGCAGCACCACCGGGACCTGAGCACCCCAGTTGGGCGTTCTGATGCTGAGGCTGTGCAGCAGGTGGTGGAGGCAGCTGTGGGGCAGGCCCTGCCCGGGGCCACTGTCACGTTGACCGGCGGCTTCCGGAGGTAAGGGAGTCTGATGTACCCTTCTGGCTTGACTTGAGGTCCTTCCCCAGTGACAGGACCTGAATTTTGGACATTGGTGACCTTTCCCACTCACTGAAAGGAACATGGCCTGAGGCTAGAGTGAGAGCTACACCTATGTGGGGTGGTAGGGGGTACAGAGACTCAAAACTGTTCCCCTCAGGGGGAAGTTGCAGGGCCATGATGTGGACTTCCTCATCACCCACCCTGAGGACGGCAAGGAGGCAGGGCTGCTACCCAGAGTGATGCACCACCTGCAGAGCCAGGTGAGGGCCTCCAGTGCCCTGCCTAGGAGGCATGACACTGGCCAGCCTTCTGCCCTCCCAGCACCATGACAGTGCCTGACTTCACCTGCCTCTGCCTACAGGGTCTTGTTCTGTACCACCAGTATCAGCCTAGTCGCTTAGATGACCCCACCCGTCTGACCCAGCAAAGTCACACCATGGATGCCTTTGAGAGGAGTTTCTGCATTTTCCGCCTGCCACGACCCCCAGGGGCTGCTGGGGGGGATCCCCTGGAGCCCTACCCAGCATGGAAAGCTGTGAGGGTAGATCTGGTGGTTGTCCCCAGCAGCCAGTTCCCTTTTGCTCTTCTTGGCTGGACTGGTTCCCAGGTAGGTTGTGTGCTGCTGAGGCTGCCTGGGGCTGGTATAGCTAGTCCTACTAATCAGTCACTTCCCCTAGCTCTTCGAGCGGGAGCTGCGTCGCTTCAGCCGGAAGGAGAAGGGGCTGTGTCTGAACAGCCATGGACTGTTTGACCCAGAACAGGTACATGGCGGGAACTAGGGTACAAAACGGTCCCCCACAGCTTGCTTTCTGGCCTACAACCTGAAATCTCCATCCTGAAACCCACAGCACCCAGGTCTGGATCTCACTTCACTAGATTTAGAGCACAAGGCACCCTGCCTGAGCCTGGGCTTTGCCTCCCTCTCCAGCCTGTCCCAGGGAAGCCACTGGTGGGGTGCCCTGCATAGTGTGCAATGGTGGCACTGGGCATGGCCTTGGCTACTGAGGCCCCTTTTTCTGTTGTAGAAGACGTTTTTCCATGTGGCTTCTGAGGAAGATATCTTCAGACACTTGGGCCTCCAGTACCTTCCCCCAGAGCAAAGGAATGCCTGACCTACCCACTGGCCACCACCCCTGTCCATAAGAAAGAGGGGCTGCCCTATACTTGACCATGGAATGTTTCTAGGCAGAAGCCTCACCTCTGCAAGTGGAGGAGCCCTCACTGGAGTCCTCACTGGCACGGGGGCCTTCCTGCCAAGCTCACAGCTATGTGACCCTGGGTCGTCTTTCAGCTTCTTCACACCTCAGATCCTGCCCAGTCATGGGCTCTGAGTGATACTGACGTCTTGGAGCTATGGCAGAGCTGTGGTCCTGGGACAAGCATTCAATCTGTGCAGTTGCAGTTGCTCTGTCTCCTGCAGAACATGTTCCTGGCCGTGCCTGAGCTGTGAGGTGAAGGATGTAGTTCCGGTCGGCTGTGAGGAGTCACTGAGGTGCTGAGGGGTGTGCCACAGCTCCTGCAGAGGGAGGAGGCCTGGGTTTCAGCACGGCAGTCCCCAGCCAGGCCTCCTGGTTCTGCCTCTAAGGCCTGGTCTCAGCCTTCTTCGGTCACACCTTGCCTCTTCTCACTCACAGCCCACAGCAGTTTCAAACTCAGACTGTGCACTCAGGCCGCAGGGTTCTGGCATTTCTGCCACCCCTGCCAGATGTGTCCCAGACCCCACATGGACAAGTTTCTCACCTTCTTTGAGACAGAAGAACTGAAGTGGTGGACACACAGTGTCCTGTGTGTTCTTCACATCCCCAGGCACATTCTGGCCTCAGGGCCTTTGCCCTTGCCATGTTGTCCACCTAGAGCCAACTCTCCTGGCCTCCTTCTGTCACCTTGTTGGGTAAGGGCTTCCCAGACCACTCAGCACATTAAAACGTATTTTTAAAATTAACATGCAGAACACTGCCTAAAGCCATCTTGTTTTGGTTACACACACCCCCAACCCAACCCATTTGGTTCTCAGTCCCCATGGTTTCATCTCTAGAATGTCACAGATGTGGAACCAAACTACTTGTCACCTATTACTGGCTTCCCTAAGCATGCCTTTGAGATCAAGCAGGCTGTGGCACGTATCTAGTTCATTCCTCTTTAGTGCTCCCTGGTGCATCCCTTCAGCTACTGAAGCAGCTTAGGTTTCCAGGGTTTGGTGATTGCGAGTAGTTACAGCCACTTGCATACGAGATTTTGTGGAAACATCCGTTCTAATTTCTTTAGGGTAAATAGCAAGGCACGGGGTTTCTGGGTCATGTGGCAAGTATATGTTTAAGGTTAAAGGAGGAGACACATTGGCTGGAGTGCTTGTGTCATTCACTAGCAGTGTGAGCAACCATGTGAGTTAAAACATTTTCCCAGGAGGCAGGAGCTCTGTATCCACCAGCACTTGGTATTTTCAGTGTTTGTTTTACCTGTTCTGGTGGTCTGTAGCAGAACCTCATGGCTAGGGTTTGGAGATGAAATAGCCCCCAAAACTTGTGTTGAAGGCTTGGTTCCTAGTGCACTGTTCAGAGGTGGAGCTTTTGGGAAGTGATTGGATCTTGAGGGCTCTCACCTCCTCAGTGCTTTAATCCATTAGTGGTTCATAGTTTGATGGTATTATTGGGAAGTGGTAGAAACTAGGAAGCAGGGCCTATTTGGAGGAAGTAGGTCACAGGGGCATTCCTTGTCTCCAGTTCCTTCCTGTCTGCTACCTACCACCATGAGGCTCTGCTCGCTACAGGCCCAGGCTCAGAAACAATGAACCAAAGAAACATGGCCTGAAACCATGAGGTACTTCATCACAGCAACTGGAAAGTAACACACTCACTGTGGTTTCCCTTCCCTCCCTGCCCACCAAACCCCCCATTCCGAGCAGAACCCCCCCACCCCCCACCCCCGCTGTGGTTTTGTTTTTGAAGATAGAGCAATCCTCTTACATACTTTGATAAAGATCCCTCTTGCCCATGTGGTGATTTGGAAGCATGTACATCCCTTCTTAGATTAGCTATCCCACTGGCTTTTTTGTTTTGTTTTTAAGACAGGGTCTTACTATATAGTTCAGGCTAATCTGGAACTCATGTTGGATTCTTTTGGCACCCTTTTCAAAAATCACTTAACCACAGTGCGAGGGGAATTTTCTTGGACTCTGAATTCTATTCCAGTTGATCTCTATGTCGGCCTTAAGCTGGTACCACACTGGACAGATTTTTAGAAACTCAAAGAATAAATCCTCCAAGTTCTTTGTCAATTTTTTTTTCTTTCTGGGACAGGGGTTTGAACACAGGAGTTCACACTTGCAAAACAGGCACTCTACCACTTAAGCCACACCTCCAGTCCATTTTGCCCTGGTTATTTTGAAGATGGGGTCTTGAGAACTATTTCCCCAGGCTGGCCTCAAACTGCGATCCTCTGAAGTTGCTAGGATTACACGCGTGAGCCATCAGCACCAGGCTGTCAGTCTTTTGTTGATCCCCTTTATTAGGTTAGTATTCTCTTCTAGTCCTGTTTCATAAGTGCTTTTATCATGAGTGCTGGGTTTTGTAAAAGGCAGTTTTGCATATATTAAGGTAATCATGTTTTGGAGGATTTTTTTTTTTTTTGGTGTGGCAGTATTAGGGTTTATACTCAGGGCTTCATGCTTGCTAGGGAGTCACTGTACCACTTGAGCCACTCTGCCAGCCATGTTTTTGTGTGTGTGTGTGTGTGTTGGGTATTTTTGAGATAGGGTCTCATGAACTATCTCCCTGGGCTGACTTTGAACTGCAATTCTCCACATCTCTGCCTCCTGAGTAGCCAGAATTACAGGTGTGAGCCCCAGCCTCATGTTTTTTTTGTTAAAAAACAAAATATTCTTTTGGTGGCTGATATAGAGCAATATATATTTAACCAGCCTTCAGAAGGCATTGATAAACATTCTTAAAATGAATGAAAAGACAAGAATTATCAGGTAAGAAACAAGACATAAAAAGGGGAAATAAAGTAGAAACTTTAGGACTGGAAAAATACAATAACCAAGAGTTTAAAATCCACTGAGTGGGCTCAGTGACAAAATGAAAATGACAAGGATGGTCACTAAACTTGACAATTTGGAAAAAGATGTCAACCTGGGTTTTAAATTTTTTTGTTTTTGGTGGAACTGGGGTTTGAACCCAGGGTCTCAGGCTTGCTAGGCAGGTGCTCTACTAGCCCCAACCTGCGGTTGTTGCTCCCAGCCTGCTGCATACATCCTCCACTGCATCCAGGCCCAGTGTACTTACTGCACCACCACTGCCACCTCGGTGAGGAAGAAGGGAAAAAATGGAAGTGCCCAAACTCTGGAAGTGAAAGGGCTTCACTTCCTGCTCCCTAGACACCGACTCCAGGAGCCCTTTGTCTATCCAAGGTTCATGCCAGTGCTGGGCAACAGGAGACAAAAATGTGACCTCCCCGCTGTACATCAGGTCTCCCTTTCACAGCTGAGAGCTGCCCCGTCTGCCATGCTTGCTGGTTGTGGTAGGAGAGAGAGGTCACTCTACCCTCCAGGACTCAGGACTGCCTGCAGCTCCGTGGCCCCTCACTCTTCCCTTGCTGCTCCCACTGCCCCACCCCTAATACTTGATCAGCAAACAGGATGGGTCAAAATGAGTCACACTGAGGCTCAAAGGCTGGCCTTGCTTCCTTGCCCCTGGGCTGTGTCCTCTCCACACCCACTGGGTCACACCGAGGCCAGGTGCTCCCCCAGCCCAGGCCAAGTGGCCTTGTCTCACCTGACCTGCAGCCATTGCCTCTTCCAAGGTGTTTGCCCTCTACTGCCTCCACCCGGCAGCAAGTGACATTGAGCTTCACATTCTCTAGGGGTTCCCACTGTGCTGAGACACAAAGCCTCCTCTGCTGTGTGCTCCTCTCAGGTGTCCCTACTGTGTGCTGCTGGGTGGTCTTCACTGGCTCTTCAGCCTGGAGTGTCCTCTTTATAGGGCTCAGTCCTTTGTGTTCTATTTCCATCCAAATGTCATCTCCTGTGTCTGTACTCCAAGTAGCTAATCCTTCCCCACCTCCATCCCATCACACTCCTAACTAGCACCTGATACTGTCTACAATAGACTTTGTCCAGCTGCTGGCACTGTCTGTCCCCTCTGGGCCCCCAATCACACTTGGGCCAGTATGAGTCCACTGCTGGTGTGTTAAGGGGGAAAAGGTACAGCACTGACATTAGGAGATATGGATTCCATCTGGATAGATTCAGAGCCATCAGGCCTGCTTGTGGCACTGCTAGGAGGAGGGATAGGTTCCACCTGCCAGGCTTGGGGGTCTCCAATTTGCAGGAAGTTTTCTTGCCTGTTAGGATTCTTAGTCCGTATGGGATGGAGGGAGGCACGTGCAGGGTTTCCTGCACACCCAGGTCATCTCCCACCCACCCTCTCCTATTACTAAGATGAGGTTGGGGCCTGTATCCCCCAAACCTGAAGGCAGAAGTCCTGGGTCTGGAGAACTCCATGGTGGCCATTCTTTGCCTCAGGGAATGGAGTTCTAGCTGAGCTTAATGTGCAGTCAATTCCTGTGACTCAGTCCTTGCTCCGAGGTGGATGGGTCATCAGGGGCATGAGTTCCATTTTTTTTTTTTTTTGCGGTACTGGGGTTTTGCACTTATGAGGCAGGCCCCCTACCAGCCCTCCATTTTCTTTTCCAAGGTGATTGCAGTAGGGAGGCATAAGCCTGGCTTGGGCAAAGGCTCAGGTGAGGACAAGGCCTCAACAAGAGACCTTGGAGGAGAGAAGGTGAACCCATATTCCCCCTGGTTGTTCTGGAAACCAAGCCTGGTGTGTGCTCCAACCCCTGCTGCTGACTGTTGCTGTCTCCTACAAGGCCAGATCTTTCTCCTCAAAGCCATGGTTCTGCATCTGCTTCCTGGCTCTGCCACTAACATCTTCCCTCTGTCCACTGGGAAACCTTCCTACCCTATCCCCCACTCACAGGCTCCTGCAGGAAACACTGCAAGGTCGGAGCAGAAGGTAGGCCTGCCAGGGAGGGATCAGGATGCCTGAGCAAGGTCCCTGCCATTATGTAACTACCAGCCACTGGGGTATCCACTTGGCAACAAACACACGCATGTGCACACTTGAAGGTACATGCAACACATGCACTACAGGCAGTGCACACGTGGAACAGGATGTCCACATGACGTGTGCTGCAGAACCTCAGTGCAGACATACACATATGCACCCTTACAGACTCACAGACCTATGAGCATGATGCGTGTACACTGTCCTTGACCCCCTCCACAACAGGCCAGTTTCCTTCCTTGTTAAGAGACCAAGAGGACAGGTATGACAGCAAATGCCTGGTAAAAGTGCTCTGTAGGTAGATGCAGGAAGGTTGCAAGTTCAAGGCAGTAAGACACAGTTTCAAAAACAAGAGTGACCAGGAGATGGGCTGGGTTTTGGGTTTTTTTTTGGGTGCCTCTGACTGAGCAGGAAAGGGCTGATGGACCTCAAGATGTCTTCTGGAGGAGGCCCCACTTGTCTTGCCAGCCTCCCCTCTCCCTAGGCTTGACTTCTGCCCTTCACCCTGGCCCTGCTCAGCAGCCCCACCCAGCCAGGCCCTGGGCACCAGCTGATTATGGCCATGTCACTTGAGCCCAGGCGGGGTTGATGCTTGTGTGGGGCTATTTTTAAGCATCCCCCCGCCCCCGCCCCACCAAGCAGCTCCCATACTGGCCACCAGCCACTGCCTGTCCCTCTTAGAATGCTGATTGGCAGTTGGCTGGGGTGGGGGCTGGGAAGACTGTTATAAAGCTGAGAGTGCTAGGGAGGCAGCTGTCCCTGCCTGGAGCCCCCCAGGTCCCTCTGCTACCATGGCCGCCCACCGCTTAGTAATGGTCCGCCACGGAGAGAGCACATGGAACCAGGAAAACCGTTTTTGTGGGTGGTTTGATGCAGAGCTGAGTGAGAAGGGGGCAGAGGAGGCCAAGAGGGGTGCCATTGCAATCAAGGATGCCAAGATGGAGTTTGACATATGCTACACGTCGGTGCTGAAGCGGGCCATCCACACCCTGTGGACCATCCTGGACGGCACAGACCAAATGTGGCTGCCTGTGGTGCGCACTTGGCGCCTCAACGAGCGGCACTATGGGGGCCTCACTGGTCTCAACAAGGCTGAGACAGCCGCAAAGCACGGGGAGGAGCAGGTAAAGATCTGGAGGCGCTCTTTCGACATCCCACCGCCACCAATGGATGAGAAGCACCCCTACTACAACGTCATCAGCAAGGTGGGCCACTGGGAAGGCCTGGCAGCCAGGTGTGTGTGGGAGGCAGTATCCAGGGAGGGAACAAGTGTCCTGGTGCCTCCCCTTTGCCCCACCAGGAACGTCGGTATGCAGGCCTGAAGCCAGGGGAGTTGCCTACCTGTGAGAGCCTCAAGGACACCATTGCCCGGGCCCTCCCCTTCTGGAATGAGGAGATCGCCCCCCAGATCAAGGCTGGCAAGCGTGTGCTCATTGCAGCCCATGGGAACAGCCTGCGGGGCATCGTGAAGCACCTGGAAGGTGAGGCCCACCCTCAGGTGGGGTGAGGGGGAGGCAGGTGGGAGTGATAATCCTGACTTGTTTCAGCAGTTTAGCAGATGTGGTGGTTTCAAAAGGGGATTGAACTGAGGTTGAGAACGTTTACAAAATTGTTCTGTGACTTTTGTTCCATTTCTGTGTATACACTGAGTCGCTATGGGAAAGACTGTGCATTTAGTCTGCACCACCACTGTGCCTGGCTCCACAGGAGCTGATCAGAGGTAGGGTAGGTTTGAGGGTGGCATCTTGCCCAATGACACCTAGCTTGGAAAAGGAAGTGTTGGGACACAGGGCACTTAGCTGTGGCACTCTGGGCAGGCCACTTACATGACTGGGGAGCTCATGGTGCTGTCTGGTACTGCCTGCATTTTTCTTGTAACAGGGTCTCGCTATGTAGCCCAGGATGGCCTCAAAAATCAAGATCCTTCTGCCTGTTTCCCTGAGTGCTGGGATTCCAGACATGCACCTTCTTAATGTAGGGTTCAGCCAGGAACACCCTCCTCCCCATGGGTCCTCCTCACCACACTTTCTCTAGGTAAAAATAAGAGCAGCCAAAGACAGGTGCAGAGTTATGAGCTGCCTTAAGACCTGGGGCTTGTAGTGGGGCTCCCAATGAAGAGGGCCTTGGTGGCCACATGCCATTGGGAGGCTTCCGATTATGGTCTCTCCACTGGGTCTTAAGATACCAGGACAATCTAAATTAGCCTCTAGAAGACTGGCAAGCTTGCTGGGACCCTAACAAGGGAATGGAATGCACCCCAGGTCTCCAGCTCCTGGGAGCTGATGCCCTGAGCCTAGATGAGGGAGTGGGACCTCTGCCCCTCCCTTCGGGAGGTCCCAGGCAGCCCCACATGCCTCCCTCAGCCTGCTCTGGGGAAAGAGGCACATGGCCAAGTGTGACAAGTGGGACTTCAGTGAGAATGAGGGTATCTCTGACTCCCCAGAGAACATTCTGAAGTTGTCCTGCATGGTGGGGGCAGGGTGATGGCAATCCCAAAGGTTGAGCTGCTATTCCTGGCAGGGCCGTAGCAGGCGGGCTCAGGTTCCCACCCTTTGCCTGCTCCTCTGCTCAGAACTTAGCCTCTAGAAGCCAGAAGGCTAATATTCTCCCCAACCCTCAACTTGGGTATGGCCAGTTCACACTGGACTGAGACCATAGATGGCAGTGCCACAGGTCATAGTGCCTCATGGGGATGAGGTTGTCTTGCCATTGGGCTATTTCTGTAAGCCGCTCCACCTAGCTTGCTTCTGCCTTGGCCTTTAGGCACATTTCTGTGACCTTAATTGGGGCTGGGAGGATGTCAGGTGACCCAGTTCTGCGGCTCACAATGGCTAAGGAGTCTGCTGTATGGATGGGGCAGGGGCTGAGTTAAGGATATTGTTCCTCTGGTCCAGGGATGTCAGACCAGGCCATCATGGAGCTGAACCTGCCTACGGGAATCCCCATTGTGTATGAGCTGGACCAGACGCTGAAGCCCACCAAGCCCATGAGGTTCCTGGGAGATGAGGAGACGGTGCGGAAGGCCATGGAGGCTGTGGCTGCTCAGGGCAAGGCCAAGTGAGGGTGGGCACAGGCAATAAAGGTACCTCTGCAAGCTGCCTTGAGTTCAGCACTGCTAGCTGTACAGCCACAGCCTGTACCGCTTAGGCTGCAAGGACCCCAGGGATCAGCTGCCACAAAAGCCCCTATCACCAGAGGAAGGAGCCCAGTGCCCAGCCCTGGTTGTCAGAGGCAGAGGTGGAGCTGTGTCTACACTGTACTGTGGTGACCATGTTCTCAAACCAGGTACATTAGGGAAAAGAGCCCTGGAGACCCAACCCTCCTCATGGGATGTCCCACAACCAGGACAATGCCACCGAATCAGCTTCCTTCAGAGAAAGGGTGGCCCCTGAGGTACTGTCTGAACTCCAACTTCTGGTGGGCACAAGCCCATGGGGCCTCAAGGCCTGCGACACCCAATTCCTGTGAAGACCTACTGTCTTCGCAGGAGAAAGGAAGGACATGGTAGGGGCTGGATTTACCACTGTCTGGGGCCAGCTGCTTCCTCACATAGTTTTCCACCTAAGTGAAACATGTCCACCTGGCACCTCCCAGGCAGAAGACCTAATTCCCTAAACACCCAGTGCGTGCCAGCACCTCAGTCTGCATATGAGCTAGACTGCATGACACACACTCCTCAAGAAAGGGAGTTTTGCAGACTTGGCCTGCCCCAGAACAGAAATGCAGGAAGCCTCCAACTTGAGCCACACCCTAAGGTTTCTACCTTCTGTAGGTGGCTGATGGGCCAGAGGCTTGATGCACATGCACAAACTTGTACACACCCCAGACACAAAAGATGCTGATCCCAGGTGGAGGGTTTCACATGGGAACATTCAGGCTACTGCAGGGAAGACCGGAGCTGAAAGCCCAGGGACCCAATTCCAGTTTTTAGATTTGTTCTTCAGAGACACAGATGGCCTGGGACAGAAAGTGGGGAGCAGCAAGTACGGGCTACTGTGTTCCTTTTCCAGAAGCCAAAATAAGTTGAGAGGCATACACTGGAGCCAGCAGATGTCGAGTGAGCCACACAAAGGACATGTCTTTTGATTTTTCACATACCCAGAGATGGGAGCTTGGTTATTCTATCCCTACTTCCCATAGCCCAGTCACAGGGACAGAGAAATGGAGTGGAGCAGGGCAGGCAGGCTCCAGTGAGTCAACCTCCCTGCTGCCAAAACTGTCAAGGTCCATTGTGATACTGGTCACAGACTCTCTTAAAAGCAATTCTCTTAAGTTCATGGTTCCCAGAGGCCATTCTAAACAGCTGTAGCCACCACCCCTTAGAAGACACAAAGAGTAAAAAAGGCAAATGCAGAAAGAAGGCGGCCTCCAGATGCCCCTATTCAGAGCTCCCCAGCTTAGCACTGGCTGCTCTCTTTGGACAGGTTACCCCAGGGGCTGGCCACAGGGAGCCTGGCTCAATATCCCACTGGGGTAAGGGCTGGGCTGGTGGGAGAGCCTGGGAGGCTACAGGAAGCGTATTTGGGAATCACTGGGTTATTGCTGCATCTGGAGTGACAAAGGCTGAGCCACCCAAGCCAGAAGGAGCCCTGAGGCCTCATCCTCATCTGAGTTTCATTCCTGGAAGAGTGCCCAACATTAGCTTTTGGGCCTCCTCTTCCAGCAATAAGGAAGCCACAACTGCGTGGGGAAGGTAAAGACAGGCCTCATCCTCACTCAATGAGCTCCACGTAGTTAGCAGGGAACATGCCAAAGTGGCCATCAGGCCCGTAGCCACGCCACCAGCCTTCGTCGATCACCTCAATGCCCGTAATGAGGTTCTCAGGGTCAAAGGAGATCTCAGTATCATCAGCTGCAATGAGGGCAAGACCAAGTGCTGTATCAGGAGCTCTGCCCCTCCTGTATTACAGCTCAGAGCAGCTCTGCTTCTTCCTCAGAAGTATCCCACTGCCATTCAGCCCACAGGGGTTCAGCATCACCATTACCACAGTGCCCACCCTCCCAGGGCACACTACAGAGCACTCCTGCAAGCTCCCCAAAGACCCTGCGAGCTTTCCCCAAAGCCTCCACCTGAGGATGCTTGGGAGCCAGTGTCCAGGCCTGGCTCATCGCACCGGTCAGACCTGTTTTACAAGGATAGCAACTGGGATTCCTGCCAGTGGATGGTAAGCAGCTGTCTGGGGCATGTTGTCCAGGCTGTTCAGGACAAAAGCTCTAGTGCCATGGTCCTGACCACTCCAGAGAGGCTTCCGTCTCCAAACTTGCCTCCCACTCCCGTGTCTGCTCTTCTTGACATCCCTGGGGTCCATCCCTCAGAGCCCTAACACTTGCCCTTGTCCCCTAACCCCAGGACCTATGACAGCAAGGTGGAGCACCTCACCTGCCTGATAGTCGTATAAGGCCCGGGCGCATAGCCCTTGTCCACTGAGCCCCTGGCCCTGTGTGTAGTGGTCAACGTGCTCAGAGCCAGCACCTTGCTGCTGCACCTGCCAGGATGAGGAAGATCACATTACCCCAGATTCACACTCAGGTGGTTCAGATGAAGCTGGTGGGGAGAGGACGGCACATGGAGGGCATGAAGCAATGAGGAGCAGTGGTGGGGTGTGTGCAGGGGTGCTGCTGCCCTAACTATCACTTCAAGGTACACAGCCAAAAGACAGCACACAAATCCCTCGAGCCATGAACTGCAAGGCATTCTCTCCTTGCTTGGTATCAATGACACAACACAGATGCTGGCCCACACAACTTATAGCATGGGGTCACTACAAAAGTCAAAGGAAAATCCACATGTGCTTAAAAACCTGCAGTGTGGGACTGGCTCAGTGGCAGAGCTCTTACCTAGTGTGCTCAAGGCCCTGGATGAGATTCTCAGGACTGAAGAAAAAAAAAAAAAAACGGAACCTAATCTGGGTATGGTGATGCATGCCTGTGATCCTAGCACTCAGGAGACTGAGGCAGGAGGATCTCTAATTGGAGACCAGCCTTGGCACCTGTCTTAAAATAAAACAAAAACAGGAAAAGGAAAAACCAAACCTCTGCAGTGTGCCATGGAAAACTCAAGCCTGTGGTCCTTTACCCACTGCATCCCACCACAGGGCACCCACCTGTGGGGGATCCTCATACAGGGGCTCCTGCTCTGGGGGCTCCTCATATGTGGCTTCTTCCTCTTCTGCCTGTATCAGACATGGAGTGCTGGGCACTGGCTCCTCACAGACATCTGTACCAGAGAACACAACATGTTCTAACCCTCCCCTTCCCTCAACACCCCCCCACCTCTCCTCCATCACCCCCCTCCGAAGCCCCGAGTGACAAGCGCCTTGCCTGCTGTGGGCCTGGACACGGCGGGAGTTGGCTCTCTGCTAAAGGAGGTCTCTGGTTGAGTGAGCTGTTTCTGCAGGAAGGGGCTCCTCAGCTTGCCTGCAAATACCATGCCCACTACTTAAAAACACCACCTAAGCTGGGTGCCAGTGGCTCACATCTGTAATCCTAGCTACTCAGGAGGCAGAGATCAGGAGGATTGCAGTTCAAACCCAGCCTGAGCAAATAGTTCCACAAGACCCTCTTGAAAAACCCTTCACAGAAATAGGGTTGGTGGAGTGGATCAAGGTGAAAGCCCTGAGTTCAAGCCCCAGTACAAAAAAAAAAAAAAAAAAAAAAAAAAACCCAACAAAACAAAACAACAAAAAAAACCACCTGGGCTCCATACACAGGCCCAGGTGTGCTGGAAGCAGCCTACGGGAGCTGGGCCCAGCAAGTGCCACGGCTATGTGCTGAGTAATGAGCTGGTGGGCTGCCCAGTCTTGTGTCCTTTAGGGACCAAAGTGATCAGCATGGTCACTGATGAGGTCAAAGGCAGGAGGGATACTGGGGCCCCAGACAACGGTTTCCCTTGTTACCCCTGGAGGCCCTACGCAGGACTTCAGGCTTCCCCTTAGCCCACCCAGGCCTTGTGGCCATGCCCATGTAGAGTCCCACCTGGCTGAGGGCTGGGATGGAGGTGGTGGACATGGCCCTCTCCTTCTGCTTGAAAATCTCCCGCGGGTGTGGGGCTGACTGAGCAGTGGACTCCTAGAAGGACACACATTGACCCCAACATTGAGCAGGAACCCAAGAGCTTCTTACCTCACTGCTCTACCTCAGAAGGTAGGCCTTCCAAGTGGTGGCAGGGGGTGGGGTGGGATGGCAGTATGTGTGCACGAAGCTGAGGAACTGACAAGGCCTCTCCCAGGACTGGGCTGTGGTCCCTGCCAGAAGCTTCTACCCCTGGCTTTCCTCCCAACTGGTACCTCTGATGTGCCCAGATGTGGCTCAGGTTCACTGCATAGGTCTGGGTTGCGCCCTCCCTTTGAGGCCAGGGGCTTCAACATGTGACTGAGATGGGTCCAAACCAGCAAGTTCCCAAGCCGTTTGAGAGGAGATGACCAAGACTCACCCACTCCTCTCTGTTCCTTGAAACTGCTTCATGCTGCTGCTCATACAAGCTGCTGAGAAGATCGGGTGAGGGGGAGATCTGAGGCTTGTTGGCAGCCCCTCTTGCTCTGCCCTGTCCTCCTCCCTCTGAGGGATTAAGTGAGCCCAACTGAGGGTAGGCTCACCTCGGCAGGCCAGCCTTGCTGTGCTGCTCCTGGTAGCGCTGCTCCCGGCGGGCAGCCTCCTGCAGCTCCCGCTCCCGGCGCTCCTGTTCCAGCCGCTGCTGCTGCTCCTCAGCTCGTCGCTTCTCCTCCAGCCTGCGGTTCTCCTCCTCTTTCTGCAGAAGGAGCTGCCTGCTCAGCCCCATGCTGCCCCCTTGGCCTCACTCCTTGCCAGCATGGGGTCCCATAGCTATGGCCCATTGCTCACTAGCCCTGGACTTAACCATCTGTGAATGGGCAGGCAGAACAGTCACGACAGTCCGTGCCCGCCTGGACTGTCACTGCACTCACCTCAGCTTTGGCCCAGAAGCTATCTTTGCCAACCCTCTTGATCTCAGACACAGCATTGGTCTTCTGGTACACAGAGCCCTGTGGGGCACAGAGCACAAGCTGGAGACCTGGTCCCAAGTGGAAGCTCGGGACTACGGACACAGAGGAAAGGGCAGCACAGAAGATTTACTAGGCTTTTGAGAGAGGAGGTGAGCACAGTGGAGAAAGAAGACCAGAAGTTGGGCATGGTGACGCGTCCTAGCCTGTAATTCTAGCACTCAGGAGGGTGAGGAAGGAAGATTGGGAGTTCCAGGCCAGCCTGGTCTGCATAGGAAAACTCTGTCTCAAAAATAAGCAAAAAAAGAGGCTGAGGGAAATGCTGCACCAGGGACATGGAATCTTGACAACACTGCTGGGGTCTCTAGTGGCACTCAGCCCTTATAGATGGGGAAGAAAAGGCCCTGTCTCAGATTCCTGAGGACGAGGCCGTTCTAAGGCAGGCCTCCTGCTAGGCTGCTCCTTAGACGGCTGCCTGACAGCAGTGTGTACAGGAATCGCCACAGGTCGCAAGTGCATGTCTCATGACACAGCTCCTGGTTGTCAGCTCCACCCAGTGCTAGAAAGGTTTCAGGTTCTGCTCTGATGCCACCTGAAGTTCCTACACAGTGGCTACTGCCAGGAGCAGCCCAGATTATGCTGGATCGTGGCCCTACATGGTGAACGGACTATCAGTTACGTGTTCCTAAAGAGCCTCTACCCTGTGGGGCAAACCTAATCAATGTCCAACATAAGGCTACTCAGAAATGTCACAATGAATCACTCCCCCTGTACAATTAGCGTATGCTAATTAAAAATTAGGAAAAAAATTTTCTACTCTGACCACACAGAGCTGGCTCCAAAGGCTCCAGCATGGCTAACTAAACCACAAGTTAGGTGGGTGTCCTTGTAGAGTTACTACCTATGGAAGCAGGCAGGAGGAAACCAGCCACCTAGACACTGGGAACAACCCTCAGGCCTGGAACAGCAAGGGGTCAGTGATGGGTGGGTAACACTCACTACTGGGGCCTGGGGCCCTGTATCCTGGAAGCTGCTGCTCTCTTTGTGGAAGCTGTAGTTGGCCCCAGAGGCCTTGGCAACTTTCTGCATGATGCATTCTGGCTCCACATCCTCCTCAGCTCGTGCATTGATGGTCACGTGGGCCCCCTGCAGCAGGAACAGCACTTAAAATGTAAGTTTTGCAACACAAGAGGCTAAAGTCCCATCTGTCCACACAGCAAAGGCCACCACCACACAGTGTCAGAAGATGACAAGGCCTTGCCTGTGCTATGTGATGTACAGTCCCCATTGCAGCTCAGATGTATAGGCATGAATCACAGAAAAGGCCTTCTTTCTAACAATGAAAACTAACTTAAAAGGCTACCTGGAAACAAGCACACTTTCTTTTTTTTTTTTTTTCACCAAAATCTAGCCACTTTGTTTTTTTATTTTTTTTACTTTTTAACAGACTGTATTTTATTTATTTTTTTTTCATTTTTCTTTTATTATTCATATGTGCATACAAGGATTGGTTCATTTCTCCCCACTGCCCCCACCCCCTCCCTTACCACCCACTCCGCCCCCTCCCTCTCCCCGCCCCAATACCCAGCAGAAACTATTTTGCTCTTATTTCTAATCTTGTTGTAGAGAGAGTATAAGCAATAATAGGAAGGAACAAGAGTTTTTGCTGGTTGAGATAAGGATAGCTATACAGGGCATTGACTCACATTGATTTCCTGTGCGTGGATGTTACCTTCTAGGTTAATTCACAAGCACACTTTCTACAAAAAGTGAGCCACTGATTTCTTCCTGAGAAGCAGTCCCGTGACCTCAATCACTCTTACTATAGACCCAATACACTTGGAAGTCTCACTGGGATACAGCTCAGTGGTAGAGCATTTGCCTCACAAGTGGGAGGCTCTGGGTTCGATTCCCAGCACTGCAAAAAAAGTTTTTTAAAACCTGGAAGCTTCTCTTTCAGCTACAAGATGAAAAAATGGAGGCATTTCTGAAGACATATGGGCAGAATCGCAAAAAGTCACCAGACAAGTGAACTACAAATTATTTTTGACATAAATGCTATTGTGGCACTGGGGTTTGAACTCAGGGCCTTGCACTTGCTAGGCAGGTGCTCTACCTCTTTAGCCGCTTGAGTCAAAATGCTTTTGAAATTGAAGTACAATTGTAGGACAAGTGACACACATCCTGTAGAAATGCACTGGAAACAAGGCACCAAAGGAACACACACTGAGGTGGTGAGCATCAGTGGTTTGCTTCTCCCTCCAAATCCTGACAATGCTGCCGAAGTGCAGAGTGAACATGAACAACAACCCATGGCTCAGCCTTGCCCACCAGATCGGTCTAGCATGGTCCTCATGTTGGCCACATCTCTGCCTCCTGAGTACCTGCTGACCCAGAGGGGAGCAGCCTCTGGACAAGCCCTGAGGGCCCTCAGTGGCCATGCTCCTGACTCCAGGTGCCTTGCACCCAGGAACCTAGGATGTTTAATCCTACAAGGCTGCTTATAGGGCAGAAGAACTGGCTCAGCCCTCACCTTCAGGAAGTTCGCCATGGTGCTGACATGGTTGGCGCATGCTCCCTTCCGGACATCATTCACACCCTCGCCTGTCTGCAACACAAGCACACCTAGCATGAACCAGGCGTCCTCCAAAGCCACTTTCCTGCCCACAAGTTCCCAGGAACCTGGAAGCTTCCCTATCTCCTTTAAAAGACAGTCTCCTCCAGATCCCCCTCCCCAAGCAGAATCCATTCTTCCAACTGAGTCACACAGATGAGATTACCCCCTCACACCTCCAAGACCCTGGGCAGGAAGCAGCTGGCTTCCACTGTGGGAGTTATTTCCAGAGCCCTCCTGGTCCCCAACTAAGGGGGGGTCTGCTCTGCGGGAGCCCCTGTCCTTGTACTCCCAGGCTCCTGAGCACTCCCTCAGACCTTCTACTCCATCGGAGCAACTACCCCAAAGGGAATGGGGCAGCAATTTCTTATGACTGTTTTCACTTCATTTTGCAGGAATAATTTTGGGTTGGAGGGTGAGTTCTGTGCAGCAAGGTCAGTTTTTCTTTGGACCACAATGAATCAGTCAACTATTCTGCTCATGAGCTGTTTGGTTGATCTACTAAGTCAAACCAGTGAAGTCAAGTCAAAGCAGGAAAAATGAGAGGGACTTTCCCCAGTCACACTAGATGAGTCCACGTACCCAGTTGATGAGGACAAACTTGGGCAGGCCAGAGTTGGGGTCCTTCACCCTGCAGAAGGCATACATCACCTTCCCGCTGTTGAGCTCCTCCACCAGTTCCTCCAGGCCACCCTCTGCAGATCACAGGGAAGGTGAGAGGCAGTGGTGCCCCTTGCCTGCCTCAATGCTTGGCCCACCAGGAAGGGAACACCAGAGCTTCTCAACCCATCTGCCTCAGAATCATTCTGGGAACTGTATTTAAAATTAAGTTTATGAGACTGTGAGTATAGCTCAGTGGTACAGTGCTTGCCTAGCATGTACAAAACCCTGGGTTCAATCCCCAGCACTACCAAAGAAAAAATTAGATTCCTTGGCCCAATCCCCACTAGGCTGATTTTTATAGATATGGTAGAAACCAGAAGTATACATTTCTTCACTTCTTTTTGGTGGTATAGGGGTTTGAACTCAGGGCTTTGTACTTGTAAGACAGGAGCTCTACTGCTTGAGCCATGCCTCCACACTTTTCTTCTCTGGTTATTTTTGAGACAGTCTTACTTTTTGCCCCAGCCAGTCTAAACTGTGATCCTCCTATTTTAAGTTTCCTGCTGCCACTGGGATGGCAGGTATGCACCACCATGTCCAGCTTTTTCTGGTGAGATGGTGGTTTCGCAAACTTTTTGCCTGGGCTGGGCTGGAACTGTGATCCTCCCAATCTCAGGCTCCCAAGTAGCTAAGATTACAGGCATGAGCCACAGGCTATAAGCATACACTATGGCAAGCACCTTAGGTGACTTTTTTACCCACACTAGTTTAAAAAACACTCCTCTAAACCCAAAATAAAAAATGTCATTTTCACTGTAGACCAGCCACCAGCCTTCCAAATGGAGGATCTCTACATCAATTTTACTATTCCCTGGCCCCTGCTAAAGGCCAGGAACCATGGGGCTCCTAAGTCACCCCTGTCAGGCCCCACAGGTCAGAAGGTAGGACCTTTCGGAACAGCCCACAGCTGAACTGGCTCCACCCTCAGTTTCAGAGAGGAAGGTCAGGACAGGCTGCCCTAAATGAAACCTGCTGATTTGAGCTTCAACCCCCAAAACTCCCCAAGTCATAAAGAGGAGTTGGAGTATATCTTTCAGCTACACAGACCTGCAGAACCTGAGGCAGTCAACATGCTACATTTGCAGCAGAGTCCTGCTTTGAGGCAGTGGAGACAGCAATAGGAAACTCAGATTGCTGATATCTGCAATTCCCAAGACACCTACCACGTCATGTGAGATGACCACCTAGGGGCAATCTAGAAAGAGAACGTACCAGAAAGAACAGCTCATAACAGAAAGGTACTTTCTACCAGCAATTGCTAAACACGCACTTGTTTGACCAAGCAGAGAGCATATTCTGGGCACTTCTTGAACAACGAAGCCATGTTCTGTTTGGGACTGGGAGTGGGAGGAGGTCAGGCAGACCAGACAGGGCAGATATGCTGGTCTTGAGCATAGGGAAGGGTTGAGTTTCAGCTCGGGGGAAGGGAGGGCTGTGGCCACATCCTGACATCTCTGGCTTAGTCTACTTGCCAGCCTCTGTCCAGTGGTATCTGAAAGCTGGTCCTTCCTGCACAGAGGCCCCATGACCACCTGTAGCAACACTGCCTTTCTTTCCCCTATAAGGGCAAGGCCACTGTGTGTAGCTGGCCAGGGCAGGACAGAGGCAGAGGAGGATACATCACCCATGAGACCCAGACAGAGAAGCACTGCCCTGGCCTGGGCTGAGAAAGCTGAGGAGAAAGCTGTTTGTCTTCATCAACAAACATGTGAAACCCAAAGCTGGCTGCAAATGCCCAGGGTCCATGCCAACCAAGGGACTGATATGACACCAGCCCCCTGGCTCTGCCAGGTGCTGGTCCACAAACAGGGATCAGGGAATCCCTTAATGGAGCTGACATGGTCCTACTCCCACTCTTAGAGGTGCAGGTCTCACCAGTCAAGTCACAAGGAGAGGATGTCTGTGTGCCTTTTCTCCTGCTTTGAGATTGAAATGTCAGCAGAATTGGACCAATAACAGTCCTAGCCTCTCCCATTTGTGTACCTCATTCTGCTGCCTCCCGGAACTGAGATCCCACTTGGGGTCATACTCACCCCCTGTGCCAGCCACACGGATGTCATTGCTGTTGCCTTCATAGGTAAAGAGAGCCCTGAAAGAAAACACACTTGGGCTCAGTGGCCAGTACCCTGGGCTCCACCTGTCTTCAGCAGACCTACCAGGGCAGGCTTAGGTGCAGGCTCCACTCCACCCTGCTCTGACTTACCAGGCAGGCACTCAAGGGGCTGCTCTGAAGCTGACTACCTATGGGGCTTTCAACGAGGGACAAAGACATGGAGATGGGGAGCACACATCTACTTAGAGGAAAACATAAGCCACGGATTTTAGGCTATCTTTCTACACAGTCATGTGTCAAATACTCATCTGGTTACCAGGTATATGAATTTGAAACCAAAGCACCTAAAGGAAAAGCAAGAAGGAGAAAGACACATACCAGGCACCTTGGGAAACTGCCCAATACCTGTGCATGTATCTGTACTGCCTTCCATAAGGCCTAAAGGATAGGATAGCAGGTCTTTCCAGGTATGAGACTCTCCCAGTAAACATGGACCTTGACAGATGTGTACAGCATCAGAAACCACAAGAGACAATGGTACTACATGAAATTCCAATTAAAACTGTCTTTTCTTTTTGGCAGGAGCAGTAATGGAATTTGAACACAGGGCCTCAAGTGTTCTACCACTTAAGCCACACTTCCAGTCTTAAAGTCTGAGTTAAGACCACCAGGCTGCCACGCCTCTCATGGTCGGATGACCCACCATAGGCAAGCTTTGTTCCTAGCAGAGCCTTAACCCTCCATGGTTGACACTGGGCTGTCTTTATTCTCCTATACAACTCAATTACTCATAAACTCTGGAAAAGATTTTGGTGTATAAACTTGTGTGATGGGGGTGGCAAGAAAACAGTAAATTTTATTAAACTGAGCCATGGAAAGTCCCTTGACTAAAACAAAGGCTACTCAAGGAGAACACCTTGGTGGTTGCCCAGAGGCAAGCAAGGTTCCTCACAGTGCACACAGAGCCCAGCCGCCAGCACCAACTATGCAGAAGTGCTACCTAGGCACAGGGTGGAGGCACTGATCCATCTGACAATAAGGCAAGGGCAAAACTTGGCCTAGTGTCTGTCATCTCCCCAGCAGATAGAGGCTCCAGGAATGAGGGCTTTGCCAATGCCACTGGTGAGATGGACTTGCCTGAGAAAGACAAAGAAAGCAGGCATAAGTTAGCAGGAAGGAGACAGGCCAGTAGGAAAGAGCTCTGTGTAACAGAGTAGGAAATAGAATACATGAGAGAAACACCCAAAAAAACCCCAGAGAAATAAGGAGAAAAGACAAGGTAGGAATTGGGTATTCAGCCTGAGTTGGTGGAGCCTCTGGAAGAAAGAAGCACATTCTTGTTGACAGCCACAAGCCCTAGTTGCCAGGGCATGAGGACTGGCACAGTGGTGGGGGATAGATGGGATCTGGTAGCTAATAAGGCCAAGCTTGGTGTCTGCCACTACCCCTGACTTTATCCCCCTTTCCCCTGGGCATCATTCTACACCTCCAAGATTGTTTCCAGTTCTGGACTGGAAATGTAGTTCGAGTGTACCTGCCTAGCAACCGTGAGGCCCTGAGTTTAATCTCCAGTTCAGAGGAACATTTCCATCTTCAGTGGAGCTCCGCCCTTCTTTCAAATCAACATGAAAAAATATGGTGTGCTGGACTATGCATGGCAAGGAATTGTGGGGTGTCAAGCACCTTATCATTCAATCATTCTTTCCAAATATGTATAGTAAGAACCTGTTTACTGTGACAGAAGTGCAGCTATGAACATTTCCTAAGAGGTTCTGCCCATGGAACCACCTTTTACAGGAGAGACAAAACACATACTTATTTGCTACTGGGGAGTGAAGAAGGCACAGAAAGTGACATATGAACCAGATGAGAACAAATCAGGGGAAGATCTGGAGACAGGTCCAAGATGGAGAGCTGAGGCTGTGTCTCTGGCCGCAAGTCCTGGTACAATGGCACCTGCTCTGTGTGAAACTTTTTATGACCCACCAAACTGGAGACCATCTCTTCTTTGATATTCTCTACAGCTCAGTCCATCCATCATCTGAGCACCTACTACATGTAGCAACTTGGCATCAGTTACAGAGGTAAGGGCCACCCCACTCCTTCTAGTGAAGAGATACAGGTGACAAAACAAACATGAGGGTTTAAGGCATGTGTCAGGTAGGTATCTGAAGGAAGTAAAAGTGGGAAAGAAAAGGGTCTCTCTGAGAAGGCAGCCTCAGAGCAGGGAGGAAAGTTGGGGACCACCTGGGATGATATGGAAGAAGTATGCTCCAGGCAGAGGAAGGAGCAAGAGTGAGAGCTTGCAAGTTTGAGGAAGGAACCAGCTTACAAGTTTGAGGAAGAGAAAGACTGCGGTAGAGTGTTGGTGGACAGGTGTGGCCACAGTGAGGTAAACAGGAGGGGTAGCAGGAACAGGATCAGGAGCCAGTCGACAGGCAGGAGTCTGGTCTTTCTTCAAAGTGCAACAGGCAAACACTGCAGAGTTTTGGGCAGGGAAGTGAGTTGGTTCAGGTATCTTTTTTCATAGTCTCATTGAGTAACTACCTAAATTTCTATAACAATACCAGTGGAGACCAGAGACTCATGCAGCTGAGTGCTATAACCTGCAGTGCCGTGGGAGCCTGGAAGTAGGTAAGGAGGCAGCAACACGGGTGTCCGGGTAGATGAGTATGTTGAGAAGAAAGAGTAGATTCTGTACCCTCAGGAGGGACAAAGAGTAGATGGAGCAATCAGTGCCAGACCAAGGTGGCAGCAAACAGCACTGGTAGTACAAGATAAGGTGGCAGTAAGAAGCCCAAGAAAAGTCTAGAAACACGGGAGGCTTGCACAGCTGGGCTATGAGGTATCACACCCTCAAACAGTGATGGCTCCTCAGAAGACTGAGGCAGGCGCCAGGGAAGTACAGAGGAGACAAAAAGCACTAAAACAAGGGGACATTGTGAATCACAGAAGCCTTGCCCAAAGAACAGAAAAAGGCTCCATGAAGGGCCAACACAAAGGCAGACTCAGCAGGGAGAGCTTAGGTGCTGACCACAGGGTGGGATGGTCTCACCATGGCTCCACCTCTAAAGGCCAGTTTCTGTTCCCTAAGATTGGTCACCTTAGTCCACCATTCTCAGCATATTTCTAAGAACTGAAAGTGCTAAAAAATGGTCAATAAAAGCAATTTAAGCAAATGGGAAAGTGAAAGGGTATTGCCACACCATTTATTCACACTGAAGAGTGCTGACCTGTGTGTGTGTCTGTGTGTTTGTTGGGGGGAGGAGTGCAGAGGTGGGGGAGAGGCTTCCCAAAGTTAGAATCCATGCTGCCAGTACTGTAAAGACCTATTAACTGAATGATGAGACCTACACAATGACAGCCTAGTAGAGGATGCCTTGGGTCGGTGGAGGAGGGAACGTGGGACCTTTTCCCAGATAAGTGGCCAGTATCCTACTTCCAGTCTTCTTCCCATGACTCAGGCACAGGAAAGAGAAATGGAGGTCCTGCAATCCACATTCAGAGAAGCAGGGACACAGACTTCTGACCTCCTTGACGGAGCCTTCAGGGCAAGCACATGTTCCCATCCCTGATCTCAACATTAGACAAACCCGCTGAGGCTTCCGCCTTCTGGGGGTGGGTGGGGGTGGGGTGAGGGCTGCGGAGGACCCGCACCTGCAGAGAAGTCCCAGTCTGGAAAGAACACAGCGAGGCCAGCAAGCACAATCAGGCCGGGTCCTCCACCGAGGCCGGCGGCGCAGAGCCGACACTAGGCAACAGGGGGAGGGTCTGGGGGACTCGCGGATTCCCCCAGGCTGGGTGTCACCCGTCACGCACGGCGGGGCCATGGTGATGGATATGGGGCGGGCACCAGTGGATGATCCCGCAGCACCTGCGGCCCGACACTCGCGCCCCCGCACCTTCCCCACCCCCATCTTCCCCGCCTCTGGCCCAAGCCCCGGCCCGCCTCGGTGCCCACCAGTCGGTCGGGGACTTCTCGTTGACCACCCGCACGTAGGCCTCCTGCAGCGCCGGCCCGTTCCGGCTCAGGTTCGCCGCCATGGCACGCCCCTTGGTCCCCGCGCCGCAGCAGCTGCAGCTTTCCAGCCCAGCTTCCCTTGACTGACTGCTCCCAGCCGCGCCTCCGACAGCCGGAAGCTTTGTCTCTGAAAGCGAGGCCACGCCCCGGAGGCCGGAAGCGGAAGCAGGGAGGAAGGGCAGGGAGCCCACTTCTGGGCTTGGTGCCCGGATAGCTGGCTTGAGCTTCCGGTCTGCCGACGCATGTGAACTATCCGAGCCAAGCCTGCACGGCCTCTGTTCGCCCTCTAAGTGATCTTCCGGGACGCGGACTAGCGCTTGCTGTGTGTGTTTGGGCGGGGCGGGGGGGGGGGTCCTAGTCCAATCCTCCAGTTAATGCCCTCACTTGAAAAATCGTAGATTTATTTTTCTTCTTTTTTTGGCGGTACTGGGGTTTGAACTCAGGGCTTTGTGCTTGCTAGGCAGGCATTCTACCACTTGAGGCACGCCCCCAGCTGAGATCATGGATTCTTGGGTGTCTCTTCTAATGCGTACCCTGAGCCATTATGTGGAACCTCATGAAAATTTGATCTGCGATGCTGCATGTGGTGCTACATGTCTGTAATCCCAGCACTTGGCAGGCTGAGACAGGATTGCAAGTCCAAGGCCAAAAAAAACTGAGGCCAGGGTAGTGGAGGAATGAAGAGAACTGGCCTTGTGCAGCACTGCCACATGGGAATGGTTGCCCCCTCTGGGAGGAAGGGCCCATCTTGCCTCAATCCTGCTCACACATTCCTTCTATCCACAAATGAGCCTGCACTGGCCGAACGACCTGAAACAGGCCAGGCCATGATGCAAGGCAGCTCACAGCTTCCTTCCCTGCTCCTTCTACCTCTGCCTTCCCAGTAGTTGGGATTACAGCTGTGAGCCACCTGCACTGGCCCTATAATGGCCTCTCTTTACACTTTAGAATACCATGTGAAAGGGATGGGTTGTTAAAAGATTAGGAAAAGGATTAGGGGAAAGATGAAGATTAAAGATGGGGAAAAAGCTGATGCAGGTGGTCATGCCTGTAATCCTAGCTACTCAGGAGGCAGAGATTAGGTGGATTGAAGTTCGAAGCCAGCCTGGGCAAATAGTTCTCGAGACCCTATCTCAAAAAATCCCATTACAAATGGACTGGTGGAGTGGTTCAAGGTGTAGGCCCTGAGTTCAAACTCCAAAACTGAAAAAAAAAAAAAAAAAAAAAAGATTGGGAGAGGAGGCAAAAGTAATGGCTTGCACTGTTATAGGCTCACTAGTGATGGGAAGTAAAGGTGCATCAAGAATTCTCCTCCTGCTCTAGTGTGTGGGGAGCTATTTCAGCAAGACAGTTCAGGGAAATCCTCTGAGAAGAGAACACTGGAGCAAAGAACAAATGAGGGTTGCAAAGGGGCAGGTCATGGGAAAATCTGGAAAAAAGTGTTATGGTGGAAGCCAGCCTAATGAGTCTGAAGGATGGGGCAGAGGGAGAAGGCGGCCAGAAGGGCCTTGGATCTTATTCAGCATGAAATGGATTTTAAAGAGGAGAGGATGTGACCTGTCATATGTAGACCATCTTCACTTGTCTTCCACTCCCATTTTTCTTGTGTTTTATGTGTGTCCCCCCCACCCCTCCACATCTTTTTTTATTTTTTGCAGTACTGGGGCTTGAACACAGGGCTTACATCTTGAGCCACTCCACCAGCCCTTTTCAAGATAGGGTCTTATGAACTATTTGCTTGGGCTGGCCTTGAACTGCGATCCTCCTGATCTCTGCCTCCTGAGTGGCTAGATTACAGGTGTGAGACACCAGCACCCAGCCCCCCTCCACATCTTATATACTGCAAGTGGTCAGTGCTTTGATAATAACATTGAGTGTAACTAGAAAATTACTATGATGACTAGCAAGCAGTGACAGTTCAGTCACTGAGGCCATTTTGGATGGACTTGGAGATGCCAGGGTGAGAGACAGACTCCAAGGGACAGCTCTATTGTCACCCTCCAACATGGAGACTGGCCAGGAACCTGTTCTCAAGGTGCCCTGTTGCAGGTAGCTGGATGTCATCCAGCACATCTGATTGGAAGGTGGAGGCCTGGGGAAAGTGAGGCGGAGGAGGAGACATACTTTTTAGGAAAATCAAGGAAGCCACTATCTGGTCTGATAGTCCCTCCTACCCCCAGTCTCTTTAGCTTTTTTTTTTTTTCAAATAAAATCTGTCAATAGGGAATTCCAGACAAGGTAGGGGCACCAAAGCCAGTGAAGAACAAGTTCTTCCTCCCCTCACTAGTGGGCAGCAGGTACAGGAGCCAGACTCTGGAGGGGAGGCTGCTTAGGTTGGACCCTCAGTTCCTCCCACATGGCAGCAGGCTACTGTCTTTGGGATACTGGCAGCCACAGTCTCCTTTTTCTCAGAGGACCCAGCATCCATGACTAAATCCAAGACAGGTCCGTTACCCAGTACTCCAAAATAAGAAGATGTGCCCAAGAGCCAGCCATGAGAGGGAACGAGAGTCAAGTGGCTCCATGCTGACCTTAGGGCTCCTTCTCTGCCTCCTTGGATACCAGGGACAAAACCCAGGCCAGGAATCTGCAGATGAGGCCTATAAGCACTTCTGACACCAAGGAAGACTTCTTCCTGAATTTCAGAGACAGAAATATGGTCTTCACTGAGCAACTGCAGAGGTGGTGTTGATAGACTGTTCCTCTCATGGACTACCAGACTTGATGGACATTTGCATACTGGGATTTTAATCCCTTGCTATGAGATTTTGATCCTTTGCTGTGTTCTTGGAACTCCTGGGTCTTCCTGGAGCCTGGCAGAGGATCACCATCTCAGCTTCATTCAGCAAACCCAGAAACTGCTGGAAGAATTAATAGCCATTTATTCATCATAGATCCGTTGCTTTAAGATATGGCCCACAAAGGAAAAAAACATTACTCCACAATTGGCTTTTCAGATCTGCTAAAGATACGGGTGACACAGGAGCCACCCACACCATAGTTCATCTTGGAACAAGGCTTTATTTTCATGGTTTTGTGATCCTTTTGCCTCTGCTTCCTGAGTGCTGGGATCACGGGTGTGCACCACTGCACCCAGTTTAGAACAAGGCTTTTTGATCTAAAGATCCTGTCTTCCAGGTTGACTGGAGCCCTGGAAGCATGGTAAGTGGGGGAAACCCAGGAAATTTACTGGGGTACAAGCTTGTCTGAGGGGATCTGGCAGGTACAAAGCCCACTTCAGGCTGGCAATGAATGAGTGAAAAATTGCCCTGGGGACCGCAAAGAGCTGATTTTACTTTCTTTACTACATTTCTTCAGCAGAGAGAGCAGGCTTGGGGAAATTTTGACTGGATCTGAAAAAAAATCTATGTTTCTTGGGAGTTGTACACTATTATGCTTGAAAGACCAGAGTATGGCTACTTAGAGCCCCAACACCAGCTTGGGCCTGGATTTTCCCCTCCAACCTGCCTTTAACATGTGAGTCAGTCCCCCTTTCCCCGACTACTACATGAGTCATTATCTGCTCAGTGCTTTGTGATGCTCAGCTGAAGCACATGATCTCATGTAAGGCACACGCTGCTGCTCAGCGGAGCGAGGAAAACCTTGCTGAGTGAAACCTCAGTAAAGGCATTCCCCCCATTCATTAAGGTTTATTGTTCTGGGCTGGGGCTGTAGCTTGGGAGTACAGCACGCACATGGCCCTGGGTTCGATCTCAGCACTACAATATATATGTGTATGTATGTATATGTACATACATACATACACATATATATTCAAAGGGGTAGAAAAGAGACAGAGATTAAAAAAGCAATCTTCACCACGGTGAGAAGTAAGGAATGAGGGCCATGGGACCCCAAGGGAAGACTTATGGAGGAACCTAAATGGGGACAAATACAGACCAGGCTCAGGCTCAGGCTCAATTGTCTTCATCCCTTGCCAAGGAAGTGATGATGTGAACAACCTCAAAATGATTTTTTCACTAGCGAGGCATCTGGCAGTAAGGTTGCAGCTACCACGTGGGAGCTTCTAGAGCAAATCAGTCTAACAAATCAAACTCAATGAAGTCTTCCTGCTCCCAGGAGAGTTTTTTGAGTAACTCTCAGGTGCTAGATCTGTAGACTTCTTTCCAATTGCCTCCAAAGGCCTCACTTTCTCTGCTCCTGTTCTGAGTCATCAAGCATCACTCCCTGGGAGTGGACCAGTTTTATAACCAACTCAGGAAATACAAAGGAAAGGCTGGGCAAGGTGATGTACACCTATAATCCCAGGAGACTAAAGCAGGAGGACTTCAAGTTTAAGGCCAGACAGGACTACATAGTAAGATGTTGTTGAAAGGGAGAGGGAGAGAGAGAGAGATGGGGTGGGGGGGGGAGAGAGAAAGGAAGGAAAGGAGAAAGAGAGAGGAGGGAGGGAGGGAAAAGAGGGAAGAAAGAAGGAAAAGAAGGAAATAAAGATGGAAAGGAAAATAAAGAAGGAAACAAGAAAAAAGGGAAAAGAAGAAAGGAAGAAAAAAGAAAAGGAAGGAAGAAAGAGAGAGAAAGAGAAAGAGAGAGAGAGAGAGAAAGACTAAGTTAAATTTGGTGTTAGCTCCTTCCTCTTTGGAGGCGCTTTACTACAAACTTCGTTTCTGCCCAGATAGCCTAATCTCAAAGCTCAAAGCTCTCAGTTCTAAGGGCAAACTTGAACTGTGCTCCATCTGAAAGCCAAGTGAGGAGGCCCGCACCCAGCAGGCTACTGTAATCAGGAGTCTGAAGAACCTGTTAAGTTTCATATCCTCTATTCTGCCTGGAAGAAAGAAAGCAGCATAAACCTCTATTATCATTTAGTTTCGAAGGAATCTCGTTTTTATTTACATTGGAGAGTCTGTTGCCTTCCTTGTGTTCTAGTCTGTGAATGGCTTATACTTGGACTTTATGTAGGCTCCAGTAGGGGGAGGCAGAGGTGGGGAGAAACCTCATCACATAGAAAAGCATAGCCCAAATCTCTCCAGGTTTCCTAATTTTGCTCTTACTTCTGAAAAAGACAGGTATCTCTCCTGGGATGTTATGTGCTTTATATCTTCACATTTTCCACTTCCTGCTTTTTGGTGTGAGGAGAGAAATGCAGCCTGTAGCACTGTGGAGGAAGATGGTGGAAGACAGCAAAAGTATAGAACCAGGCCTCCACCTTCCGGTGACGCTGTCCCAGATTCTGGGAGCCTTCAGGATGTACTCAGACTCCTTGGGACATGGTTCTATGGCAGACAGGTTTGCAGGAAGCCCAGGACAGCACTGAGTTCCAAAGGCAAAGCGTACACAGTGAGGGGCTGGGCTGCACCCCCGATTGATGCCACTTGAAGCCAGGCAGGGGAGGCAGGGCCTGGTTCCCCAGAGACAAACAGAGGAGGTTGGACAGACAGACCGATTCCAATGTAACCAGGAAGGCTGACGATCCTAATAAACATGGCTGTTGATTTGGCATCAGAGACATGATACTGTCAAAGCCACAGTGGCTGAGAGAGGCACCAATATGCTATAGCCAGAGAAAGTGGATGGCCAACATGTGTGCAGAACAGATGGTGCTCTGTGAGTGGCTCAGAGCTTCACAGGAAGACAGCTGCCTGGCGAGCCTCTCTTGGACAATGTCTCCCATGAAACCTTTGAGGCACTTACATAGCATATTTCTGTGTCCACTCTCTTGCCAGTCTGTTGTACCTGGAAGAAAAGAACAGAGGAAGCGACACTCTCACTTGAAATGGTCATATCACTTAAATATGGAGCAGAGAACATGACTGAAGTGGGGAAATACTGCTGCTGCTTGTCAAACATCCAGGACTGATGGGTAAGTGAAAGAAAGACTTTCCTTGGGTCAAATGAGGTGGAACATGACTTTAGTTCCAGCACTAGTGAGACAGAGGCAGGAAGATTGAGAGTTTGAGGCCAGCCTGGGCTACACAGCAAGACCCTGTGTCAAAAAAAACAAACAAAACCCCAAAATACTCAAAAAACTTCCCTGGGAGCAGGAAGATTTCAGTGAGTTCTGTTGACCCTCCATAATGACCTGTGCTGGACCCTCCACCTCCTCTTCTGTCCTTCAATATGGATGCAGGATAGGGAAGACACCAGAGGTTCAGCTTGGAACAGTTCCAGGCTATATGGCACACAAACTCCAGAACCTGGCTACTGGTACTATCCTCTGCAGCTAGGCCATCTTCCTGTGCCCTGGCCTCCTTGACTGTTTACCATAGAGACCCTATCTGCCTTGTGCGGCCATAGGGTGGACTGGGCAAGTTTGTAAAGCATATGGAGTAGGCCTGCACCCCATGAAGACTATGTAGGTGTGTGCATTTATTCTCATTATTGTAATGAGAGCTGATGCTCTGAGCAGTAAATCAGAGATTTGTAGTTACAGGAGACATTAAAAAAAATCCTCTTTGTTGTATCTAAAATAGCTCATTGGGCCGGAGGCATGGCTCAAGTGGCAGGGAGTTTGCCCAGCAAGTGCAAGGCCCTTTGTTCAAACCCCAGAACTGAAAAAAAAAGTTAAGATAAATAAGTACAACTTAAAATCTAACCAGTTAAAACTCATTTTGACTACTAATGAAGGAATAATGAAGGAAATAATGAGATCTATAAAGGTCCCAAAAATACAAGTTGTAAGCTGAGTGTCAGTGGCTCACGCCTGTAATCACAGCTACTCAGGAGAATCGAGGTTTGAAGCCAGCACAGGCAAATAGTTCACAAGACCCGATCTCAAAAAAAAAACAAAACAACCCATCACAAAAAAGGGCTGGTGGAGTGGCTCAAGGTGTAGGCCCTGAGTTCAAACTCCAGTACCACCAAAAAAAAAAAAAAAAAGAAAAATATAAATTGGAAAATCTACATTTCAATCTAATCTCCATAGACAGAAGAGGAATAATGAACTAAAAGACGTACTGAAGATATTCTTTAAAAGATCCACAATCCTCTCCCCCCAACACCACACCTGGGATCCTGCTGCCTGGGCTCTGCCACACCTGGCATCTGTTCACTGTGCCATCAACACTCAAGAGACCAACACACTCTGGTAACTCCTGTGCCTGCTCCACCAACCACAGACATGCTCATGCTTCAGTGCAAAGAGTTATGCCTGACCAAGGGTGTCAGAGTTCTACATTTCTCGGTCTGGTAATCAGTGTTTAAACAGAGGCTGGGCAGTAAGGGATGACTGCTGGTGAGACAGCAGCACACTGCTGACTTCAAACTTCAACTGGCAAAGTGACTACAGCAGCATAGCCCACCTTGACTGGTTTCAGCCTCACTCCGAGTAAGTATAAGCAGATAACCCTTTGTCTGTCTTATGCCATAAACCTAATTTTAATCCAGAATCTTCTTGTCAGATACTTCTGAGTCCACTGTTGACTGACCACTGACTTTGCTGGCCTCAGGATAGGGCTTGGCAACAAGACTTAGGGTTCAGCAGTGGTAGCTGATGAGCTATGCAGGAGGGTGAAGTGCTTTCATCTGCTTCTTCCTCTTCAGGCCAAAGGACATTAATGAGAACCAGGAGAACAAGCCCAGGCACACCCACTGCGCACATGGACTCAGCTCGGTCAGGAAGATGTGAGTGGGAACCCAAAGAGGACACGTACTTCTCTCTGTCAGCCTTGTAGGTGTGGGCTATTTCTGGTACCAGAGGATCATCAGGGTTGGGGTCACAGAGTAGAGAGCAGATGGACAAGAGAACTAGGAAGAAAAGAAAGTGTCAGTCAGCTGTGGCCACAGGCTGCAGTCTAGGTGACACCTCTCAAATGTACTTTCTAGAAGTTGACAGAGACATCATCTTCCCTTAACACACCAATCTAATGATTCTGCTCAAGTGATAAGGCATTTGCTTTGCCCACATACTGGACTTTGCAGTTTGCTCTGTGAACTTCCCTGTGCCATCCCAGCAGAGCTCCAGAACACTCTCCTTTTTGTGAGATCCTAGCTGTCACTCCCCTTCTCCATGAAGCTTGTGGTCTTAGCCTGACACCCCTCCAGCCCTCTAGCCTGTGCCCTACACCACACATCTTTGGTGTTTGGTCCTAGGATTCCTGCTTACTGGTAAGAAAACAGGACTTCAGAATTTTAAGGTAACTGTCCAAGGTCATGGACTTGGGATACCCAGGCCCGTGACTGAGAAGCCAATGCATCCTCCTGCTTTGTGCTCTCTCTGGGACATACACTCAGTGGTTTTCAGAGGCCCTGGGCAAAGGGAATCACCCACCACAGCTTGGCAGAACTGTGAGGACTGTCATTTGTGCTTTGCTGTGGACCCATTGTGACTCCAAACTAGATTCAATGAGGCATTAAAGTCCTGACCACAGCCCCCTTTTATTGATTGATTGTTGCACTAGGATTTTAACTCACAGCTTCATGCTTGCTAGACAGGCACTCTACCACTTCAGCCACTCCACTAGCCCCACAGGTTCCCTTCTTAAGATAATCCATCATCCCCCTGACATTCTGAGCCAGGAGGTTGTCACTGGAGGGCTCTATCTGCCCTTCCTTCTTTCCCACTTGAGGGCCCCTCCCTGCCACTTCACTTTCCTTTCCCCTTCCTGACTCTGCAGCTAAGTCTGTACTGGCCCTGAATCTGCTGCTCAGTCTCAGACAGACCCTGGAGCTGGTATACTGTGATCAGCATCCCTTCTTGCACATACTTCTGGGCCTCAGGCAGTGGGATAATGCCACACACTTGAATTCAAGAGTAGAGCTATCTTGGCAGGAAGCTGGACTGTTTCCTGGAGATTAGCCCAGTGGCTCCCACTGTGACCCTGCAGGAACTTATACCATAGTATGGGGTGGTGGCTCTGTCCCTCTGGATTTACTGTGCCCACTGCTGCAGGCCCTCTCCAACCCTCCAAAGCCTGCCTCCATCAGTTGTCCCAGGCGCTATGTGGCCTCTCCCAGGTGTCCAAAGCTCTGCCACTTGCCCGGGCTCAGGTTCTACTCTGCTTGTTTGGGGGTTACTTTTTCACCATCCCACCAGCTCAGGTCACTGAGTTATGTACACACAGCCCGTGCTCAGCTCATCACAGTTCAAAAGGAGTATCTATAGGTCAATACCCTGGTTTGGACTGGATTTTTTTTTTTTTTTTTTGAGACAGGGTCATGCTATGTAGCCCAGGCTGGCCTTGAACTCACAATCCTCCTCCTTCAACCTCTCAAGTCTCTCAGGTGCTGTGATTACAGGCATGTACCATCATACCCAGCTAGACTGGATTCTTTAATCTCACCCACAGACATGAGGCCAACATCACTTATTTGAGGAAAGGAGGATTCTCCATTGACTGCAAGGCTCCTGGGGATAGACCCTGTATCTCTTCCTTCAGGGCAGACTCACAGTCTATGTTGGTCCTTGTTGGCTGAACAGATAAATGTGGGCACAGAGGCAGTATCATATGTGCCTTTCTGATTTTTAGATACAAAGTCTAAGCAGCATCAGTATTTTCTTTTTGTGCCCATTCACACAATGACTAACTGCTGAGAACTGCTGGGAGGCAGATGCTGGGCTCCACTGATACATCTCCTTGCAGTGTGGGAACATCCTGTGAGCACAGGGCTGGGAAGCGCTGTGTGATGTGGGGAAGCAGCCAGATCTCTCTCAGCCTCCATGACCAGGCACTCAGAGCATGTGTCGGTATTTCTACCTTTGGATACAGTCAGTGCTGGAGACCACTGCGACCGCAGGATATCTAGGCAGATGCTGCCATTGCTGTTGATATTGGGGTGATATATTTTGGTCGTGAAAGCAACCTGCGTAGATAAGAAATCTCAAGTCAGAGAAGTCACGGGGTGTCTGGAAAATAAGTAAAGCAGAAGTAGCTGCTACTGCATTATACCATATTATGCTTCATACAGTCCTGGGTGAGCTGGACACCCACCCCAAGCCCTAATAGAACACAGGAAAGGCAACCCAGAGGAAGTCTCCTGACCCATTTCTTGCTGGAGTCTCATTCTGAATTGATACCAATTCCTCTAAAGCAGTGGGCTCTGAAGAGTAACAAGGAAGTTGGTAGAAAAAAACTCAGAAGTTCAAAGAGCTATGATAAAACAATGGCTCTAATTATGGATACAATGAGGAAACAGAGTTGCCACAAGAAACAGCCAGATAAAAGTTACTCCTCATCCTTTACTTAAGTGGTTATTTTAGTCTAGCCAGCTTGGACAAAACTTGTTATTTCAACCAGCATTGGTTTTGGCTAGACATGAGGCATAGATATTTTGTTGGCATAAGATGTGCCCCAGCAGATAAACCCAGGCCTAAGACCTTTCCTGCTTTGGATTTCACCCTTTGAAAGACTTCCCTTCTCAGAATTTAGGCTTCAAGAAGCTGGGTGGAATCTCTAGCAATAAAGGAAATGCAAATTAAAACCACACTAAGATTCCATCTCACCCCTGTTAGAATAGCCATTATTAGCAATACCACTAACAACTGGTGTTGGCGAGGATGCGGGGAAAAAGGAACCCTCTTACACTGCTGGTGGGAATGTAAACTAGTACAATCACTCTGGAAAAAAATTTGGAGGCTACTTAAAAAGCTAAACATTGATCTACCATATGATCCAGCAATACCACTCTTGGGGATATACCCAAAAGACCGTGACACAGGTTACTCCAGAGGCACCTGCACACCCATGTTTATTGCAGCACTATTCACAATAGCCAAGTTATGGAAACAGCCAAGATGCCCCACCACTGATGAATGGATTAAGAAAATGTGGTATTTATACACAATGGAATTTTATGCAGCCATGAAGAAGAACAAAATGTTATCATTCGCTGGTAAATGGATGGAATTGGAGAACATCATTCTGAGTGAGGTGAGCCTGGCCCAAAAGACCAAAAATCACATGTTTTCCCACTTATGCAGACATTGGATCAAGGGCAAACACAACAAGGGGATTGGACTTTGATCACATGATAAAGCGAGAGCACACAATGGAGGCATGAGGATAGGTAAAACACCTAAAAAACTAGATAGCATTTGTTGCCCTCAACTCAGAGAAACTAAAGCAACTTTAAAGCAACTGAGGCCAATAGGAGAAGGGGACCAGGAATTAGAGAAAAGGTTAGACCAAGAAGAATTAACTTAGAAGGTAACACACATGCACAGGAAATCAATGCGAGTCAACTCCCTGTATAGCTATCCTTATCTCAACTAGCAAAAACCCTTGTTCCTTCCTATTATTGCTTATACTCTCTCTTCAACAAAATTAGAGATAAGGGCAAAATAGTTTCTGCCAGGTATCAAGGGGGTGGGGGAAAGAGGGAGGGGTGGGTGTTAAGGGAGGGGGTGGGGGGAGGGGGGAGAAATGACCCAAACATTGTATGCAAATATGAATAAAAAAAAAAAAAAGAAGAAGTTGGTGGAGAGGTGCACACTTGTAATTCCATCACCTGGGAGGCTAAGGCAGGAGGATCGTGAGTTCAAGGCCAGCCTGAGCTATAGAATGAGGTCATCTTAAAAAGAAAAGGCTTTCACTCTATAGCCATACCACTCTGAATGCACCTGATCTCAGAAGCTAAGCAGGGTCAGACCTGCTTTGATGGGATAATTTAGCCTTGCACATTTTAAATAAACAAGGATACCCACTTTAGCAAAAGATAAGAAATAACCCAAATGTCTCCCAAGAAATTATGTGTGAAATTAGTGTTACATATATACAACTATTTAAAAAGAATGTGGTGGATAGTTTATGTGTTCATATGCCTCTTTTGCCAAGATGGTGAAGTCTGTTCTATTCTTGGGAGAAACAAGGGAGCACACTCATGTGCTTGTATAGGTGTGGACGGTGCCTGGAAGAGGAGTATGGATGTAACTGGACTTGGTGCCTCTAGGATGAACAACGTCCTGTGTTCACTGCATCCTAACTTCAGCCACAAATCCTATCTTAAAATGACCTCCCTGCAACTCAGAGTTCTTGCTTTAACCAGAGATATGATGCCACACTCAGGGCTGATGTGGGGACCATGGAATCAGATCTTCCTGCCATGTGCAAGGTGCTCAGAGTCATATGCTGCTTTCACTATCCCAGGAGCAGAATGAGAATCAGGGTCTCTCCTCAGTCCCAACTACAGCCCACTGGCCAGCAGTGACCCCAACAGGCAATGCAGCAACTCTGCCTCCTGCCCCTGGGCTCTGAGTGCCCACTGTTCTTTCCTCACCAGGACAGCAGGTACACAGCATTCTTCATATTGTTATCTAGAATTTTTGTGTATCTGATATAGCTTATGATAAAGTAGGTTTTATTTTCTTTTGTTTTTTTTGAGACAGGGTCTCACTGTGTAGCCCAGATTGGCCTTAACTCATTGCCCTCCATCCTGAGTGCTGGGGTTAAGGGATTTTGTTAATGCTGGGGCTAGAATTCAGGGTTTCATGCAAGTGTTCTACCACTGAGCGATAACCCCAAACCCTAAAAATTGTTTTCTTTTTTTGTGTATGTGATACTGGGATATTTGAACTTAGGGCTTCATGCTTGCTAGGTGGACTCTACTGCTTGAGCCACTCCTCTATCCTCTAAAATATTTTAAAGAAAAAGAAAGTACTTCAGGATATGAGGTGAAGAGGGCTGTGTATGAACTTGAACATCTTTTGTCATTTGACTTTGCCCAGGAAGGGTCAAACTTTAAAAGGTCTCAGTCATTACATATCTGCTTCCTATAAAGATCATGCAATCTTTCCAGATTTCTCCTACAGTCAGAAAATTCTTGCTAAAACAGATCCAGTTTTTCCTGTTCCCTGTAGAAGGAGATTTTAAAAAGACAGGAGCATTTTTTTTCTCCTGGAGAATTATCACTCTCACCTTTCAGCTCACATCTTTCCTTGTTAAAACAACCCCAACTTACTCACAAAGCTTTCTCAGTCTTTTAATAACAGTTACTGTTTTCACTTTGTTCTTGGGAAATTAGGATCCTAAAAAATATCCAACAGACAGACATTCAGGCTGCCTCAGTATCTGCTTGTTTTAGAAGGAGCCTCAGCTGTCCACACACTAATGATGGTGATACACTGGGAAACTGCTACTTTAAAGACACTGCAATTTTTCCAGGGTAAGTGGAGGAAGATATAGCAGAGAACCATGAGGCATCTAATGCTTTTCAACCAAGCCCCCATGAACAGCAGCTGCACTCTAATTCCAGGCAGCTATTTTAGCATTGGTCACTACCCTCCCTAGTATATCTCCCCCCTTGCCAAAAGCAGAATAAAGAAGATGTTTAACCTTGATTTTAAACACCCAGATGCTGGATGACCTCTGCTGGCAACACCTCCACAGAGTTGTGACCAGTGAGCCCAGAAGGGGCCTCATCACACCAGCTCAGACAAGCAAAGTGTAAAACAGTGGCTAGGGTCTGACTTGAACCAAGCCAGCAAGGTCAACGCAGGTGGTTAAGACACAGCAACATCATTCTCTGGACTATAACACAAGACTGAGTAGATCTGGTCAAAATGTGTAACTTTGGATGGGCACAGTGGTTCACACCTGTAATCCCAGTACTTGAGAGGTGAGGGCAGGAGGATCTTGAATTCTAGGCCAGCCTAGGCTACATAGTGAGACCCTGTCTCAAAAAAAAAAAAAGAAAAGAAAAGCGTTCTCTTGATTCACTCTTGAGAAAATGTCACAAAGAAACCAAAAATGAGGGACAGTTGACAACATATTTGATGAATACTCCTCAAAACCATCAGGGTCATTAAAGACCAAGGGCAATGAAGCACCCTGGCAGACTGTGATGATGGAAACTCAGCAGTAAATGAGTGCTGGGTCCTGAGCACAAGAGGACACTGTGGAGACAGGTCAAGTTGCATCAAGTTTCCAGTTTAGTTCAGGGTTGTGACCAACACTGGTTTCCTGGTTGTGATGGTGGCAGTACAGTAATGAAGTATGGTGACATAGGGAAAGTGAGCTAAGGAGTATATGGAAACTCTTGTTTTATTTTTGTAGATGGAGATGAACACCACAATGATTAGTGCAAAAGGATTTAACCCGGGGCCTCTTACATGCTAAGCAGGTGCTCTACCACAAGCTAACCCTAACCCTTGCAATTTCTTCTAAGTCTAAAATTAATTCAAATTAGAAATTCTTTTTTTTGAAAAAAGGCGGACACATGTGGGTGTGAATCCCTCCCTTTGACTGGATCTACCAGTCTTCCTATCTCTGTTGACCATGCTTCTGTCCGTAAGTCCCCAGTGAAGATTATGCTCTGTGTAATTCTGGATCTGCCTGTCTCCTCTGTTAGACTCTTGGAAACTTCTACCTACAATAGTCAGTTCATTTTCCTGGAACAAGAGAATCCTCAAAAGTGTGACTTCACCTGGGCATCATGGTGCAAGCCTGTAATCCCAGCACTTGAGAGGCAGAGGCAGGAGGATCACAAGTTGAAGGCCAGCCTGGGCAACATAGTGTGACTCTGTTTCAGAAAAAAAAAAACAAAAAAAAACCCAACTCACCAACAAACCAACCAAACAAAAAAACCCAAAGGAAAAACAAAACTAAAAAACCAAACCAAAACCGAACCCCCTCCTCACCAACAATAAACTTCACCCATGACTTTAGTAAGGAGCCTGCTCACCACACTGACCCTTGCTCCCAACAGGGATTCTGAAAAGCCTAGAGTTTGAAGTGCTGGGAGGCCATAACCATGGAGCTGGAATGACAGACCCTCAGGAAAAGGCCCGCACACAGCCCTCTTTACTCTTTACATCACAAGCTGTTCTTCATCTACACATCAGGAGACTGGGAGGGGAGCCTCACCTTTGGGGGTTTGAAAGGGTAATCTGTAGGAAAGTGGATGGTCAGGAAGAAAACGCCTCCTTGGTAAGGACTGTCACTCTGGAAAGATGACACAGAGAAAGAGATCAGTGCTGAGCTAGGCATAAAGAAAAAGAAGCAAAACTCGGGTAGTAAAAAACAAACAAAAAAGACAAAAAAAAAAAAAAAAAAAAACTTGGGCAGTGTACTCAGCAGTACTACCTACCGGGCCCATGATGGTGGCCTGCCAGTGGAACACTACAAGACAAAAGAACGACAGGCATGTAAGAGATCCCTGTAAACCCAGCTGTTCTACTCAAAAGGTGCTGCTAAGCTTAAAGCACACCATTCACACAACACGGCCTCACTTCTGACACCAAATGCAAGTTTGGGGTTTCCAAAACCACTCTCGCTAGGACTCCCAAGGCTCACTGAAAGCTGTTGTGCCATGGCTACAGTTTATTAAAGTGTAGAGGTGCAGGTTAACCTCAGGAGGGCCTCCATTGTCCTCTTCTCATGAGGCCAGGATGTGCACTCCCCTGGCATTTTTATGTGATGACATATATAGATACTGCCAGTCAGGGATGCCTGCCTGAGCCTCAGTGCTCAGAGTTTTTATTGGCACTCCACCATGAGAATGTTACTGATGAACCAGGTACCCACAGGGCTGATCTGTCTCCAGCCATCTTGTCTTACCAAACCCCCACCTTCTACCACATGGTTAGTTTATTTGGCATAGCCAATCCTCACTCTAAATCACATTGTTGGTGTAGGTCACAGTCTCCAGGTAAACAAAAGTACTGCTACCAGATGACACATCTTAAGAGACACTTCTGAGGGGCTGAAGATGAGGCCAGATCTTTTTTGGGCAAGATTCATTTCTTTCTTTCTTTCTTTTTCTTTTTATTTTTTTTTTGATGGTACTGAGGTTTGAACTCAGAACCTCATGCTTGCTAAGCAAGTGTTCTACCAGTCCTTTTTTGTGTTGGGTATTTTTGAGATGGGGTCTCGAGAACTATGTGCCTGGGTTGGCTTCGAACTGCTATTCTCCTGATCTCTGCCTCCTGAATAGTTAGGATTACAGGTGTGAGCCACTGGCACGTGGTAAGACACAGGTGCCAGTGGCTACAATTCAGTGCTCCTTCCACAGAATTATGCCTTAGCTAGGCTTTGGCTGCTGTCCATGTTGTTTTTGTTTGTTGTTTTTTTTTTTTTTTGTGGCAGTACTGAGGATTGAACTCAAGATCTCATGCTTGCCAGGCAAGCATCCCAGCACTTGAGTCATGCCCCCAGACTCTCTGTATTGCTCTTGATGTCCCTTCTATTCCATGGTTCTTCCCTGATTCATCTTGAAACCCTCTCCAAAGAGTCCCTCAGGAACCAGCTGCCTATGGCTGTGGGGCCTCACTGGTGCCCACTCAACATACGTGTCCTCTCTACATGGAAGACTCCAAGAAGTGCCCTATGCTCTGGAAACTCAGTGACAAAGCAAGGTGAGGCCCTTCCGTTCTTCCCTTCCAGGTTGCACATCACACCTGTGCCCATTCTTGGAGCAGCTCCTGTGTGTACAGCAAGGCAGCTATGAATCGATCAAATATTCACTTTCAAGGATCCTGAGTCATACAAGTACCCCATGGCTCCAGAGTCTTTGTGAAAAATTCCTTCTCACCCACACAGTGGCTCCTGAGACTATCTGAGGGATCTGTTATTATCAAGAGGATTCATCTTATATGGATTCATGATGGGTATGGAATCCATAGACCTGGCCCCTGTTCTGGGCTTCCTGTTACTTGCTTAAATACTCCACAGGCTCTACCTGTGACAACAGGACACCAATGCATGAATGCGAAGTCTAAAGAGAAGTTTCCTGAACCCCTAGGGGACCCCAAAGGCAGTCAAGGCAGCTCATGGACCTTTCTCAATATTCCAGTGAAAGGTTGCTGAAGATAACATCTTTACTTACAATACAGCTGCCTGAGCTACATCCCCAACCCTCAACTCATGCTATCAGGTTTGCCAAATAAAAATATAGAACAGAATTCCTTATTAAATAGAAGTGTTTTTGGCTAGGCATTGTGGTTCCATGTAATCCAAGCTTCCTTGGGAAGCTGAGGCAGGAGGATCTTAAGTTTGATGCCAGCCTGGTCAACACAGCAAGGCCATTAAAAAATTAAATTTAAAAAGTTTCTGAGAAAATGAACCAAGCCTTGTATGCACATATGAATAATAAAAGAAAAAGGAAAAAAAAAAGAATTTCAAATTTTTACTTGGAGATGAAAAAAAAAAAGTTTCTGAGAATATGTTTCAGGATAGGAACCAATGGTGAATGAGCAGATACAAAAGTGGTCTCTTCTAGGTTAACAGGTTAGGATCTTTCACTTTAACCCCTTAGGATTATTCAGCAGGACTTGAGGGCCCAAAAAAAAGAAGATAAGAAAGGAAATAATGAAGGAATGCTGGAAGGGGGCAGTCTGCCCATGGCACAGGCATGAAATAGGCCCCAAAGGTGAGTTAGTGCCAGCAACAGAGGCTCACACCTATAATCCTAGGTACTTGAGAGACTGAGATCAGGAAGATCATGGCTTGAGGCAGGCCCAGGGCAAATAGTTCCTAAGACCCCATCTCCAAAGTAACCAGAGCGAAATGGACTGGAGATGTGGCTCAAGTGGTAGAGAATCTGCTTTACAAAAGCCCTGAGGTCAAACTGCAGTCCCATTAAAAAAAAAAAGAATGAGTACCAGGCTGACAGTAACCAATGCCACATGGTGAGGGTAAGCAGGGGTGTGGCTGCAAGACAGATTTATGTCCCTTGAAGGGAGATGCTCCAGGGCTGAGTGAGGAAGTAGAGTGCTATGCAGAAGCAAAACCAGGTCCCACAGAGGGCACCCCAAATTCAAGGAAAGACTAAATGTGCTGCTGGGGAAAGGAATACTAAATGGCAAGTAAAAATCATATCAAGCAAAATGAAAAAAAAAAGGTGAGCCAGCTTCCAAGACTGTCTGAGCCTGGGTCTGCTGAGGCACTGGTTGGGGTGGGTGGCCTTGGTGTTAGGCTCTTTAATAGTGTGACAGTGCCTCCTAGAGAAGGGCTGAGTGAACTGTGAAAAAGTGAGCTCAGGCAGGCTCTGAGGAGCTGCTTCTAGACAGCCAAGATCAAACTGCCATCAGTTTACGGGGACCCTAATTTAACTTGATATTGTAAGTGACAGGTGAGAGGGAAAATCTGCCATGGAGACCACCATACTTGTAAGGACAACATGAGCAAAACGGTGACCCATGAGGAACAAGTGTCAGGAGCCCACAGAGCTGACCGCCCTGTTCACACTGTGCACTTACAACTGGATTAGCCATTTCTGCTCTGCTCCAATGTGTGACTTAAAATCCTACAGAAAGCCTTCAGAGTCCCAACTTCCTCCCTCCTTCTCTCTCTCCTCATTCCCACCTTCCATTCCGCTGTGTTCTCAGAGCCTTAACTTTCAGTAGTTACATCTGCTGATCTTTGCTCCTCTGAAACTCAGCTCCTCCCAAGACATGCAGGCACACATGGGACAGTAGCCTCCCTCCCCCTTTCACTAGCTTTGTGAATTTTTTGTTTATATTAAATAATAGTATAATATATGTGACATAAAACATGCCATTTACACAAAATTTTTTTGAGACAGGATCTTGCTGTGTAACCAAGACTGGCTTTGAACTGTTTTAATTATCATATTATTGTCATATTGTACAGGATCTTGCTGTGTAACCAAGACTGGCTTTGAACTGTTTTAATTATCATATTATTGTTGTACTAGGGGCACATTGTGTCATTTACAGAAGTTCTTACAATATATCATAGTTGAAGTCACCCCTCCATCATTCTCCTTTATCCCCCCTCTCCCCATTCCTGGAATAGTTTCAACAGATCTCATTTTTCCATTTTCATACATAGGTACATAATATTCCACCATATTCACCCTCTACACTCTTTCCTTATATCCTCCTGGCATTGAACTTATGATCCTCCTCCCAAGCACTGGGATTCTTCTGTGCAGAAGCAGGAGAAAAGAACAGGCACTGGGTACTGCCATCTCCCCTGGCAAAAGCATGTGGCTGCCACCCTGCCCTTCATCAGCTCTGCACTTGGCTCCTAGGTGGTCCTGTTTGACTAGCTGTGCAATGACATTTTCACCAGTATCCCAAGTTCAACTTGGTCAGAGGAACTTTTTAGAAGGCAACATGACTTGGGACAGCTGGTTTTCTTATGACCTGGCAGCACAGATTCCATTCTGAATGTAACCTGATGAGCCCCAGGTAAACTTATAGCATCCACTGAAAAAGCAATTCATGCCAGGCATGGTGGTGCATGCCTGTAATCCTAGCACTAAGGAGGCTGAGGCACGAGGATTACAAGTTCCAAGTTCCAGGCCTGGAACTATATAGAGTGAGACCATGTCTAAAAAAGCAATTCACAAACATATGAAAGGAAAACAATGTATTAGTTTTCTTAAAAACCACTCTGCTGGTGCCAGTGGCTCATGCCTGTAATCCTAGCTACTCAAGAGGCAGAGATCAGGAGGATCGAAGTTCGAAGTCAGCCCAGGCAAACAGTTCACAAGACCCTATTTGGAAAAAACCTATCACACAATAAAAGGGCTGATGGAGTGAGCTCAAGCCCCAGTACTGCAAAACAAACAAACAAACAAAAAACAACAACAAAAAACTGCTCAAGAAAGGTTAACAGGGAGGAAAGAGGAGAAAACTGCTCAGCTGATAAATTTGGGGGTTTTAACTGAAAGGCTCCTGTAATCTGAAGCCCCCAAAATACTTACAATCATCACCGACAGGTCCCGCAGAACACTGGGCAGGAGGATCTCTCTGCAAGTCCGTCAATTCCTAGAACAGGAGACAGTGGGTTAGGCTGGTACATCTGCGGTGCTGCCTCTACACCAGTCCTCCTGGCCACAGTAAGCTCTCCTGGCGGGAACCTTGAGACATGTTGCAAACATTGCCAGTCAAGCGTCTATGAGTGGTTGTGAGTATCCAGAGAGGAAGCATGACCATTTCCATTTTTTTTTTTTTTTTGTGGTACTGGGGTTTGAACTCAGGGCCTACACCTTGAGCCACTCTACCAGCCCTTTTTTTTTTGTGATGGGTCTTGCAGACTACTTGCCTGGGGCTGGCTTCGAACCATGATCCTCCTTATCTCTACTTCCTGAGTAGCTAGGATCACAGGCGTGAGCCACCAGTGCCCGGCTACCATTTCCATTTTCTAAATAAGGAAATTAAAACATGAAGTAGTCACCTGCCCATGGTTACAGAGCTGGGCAAGGGCAGGGCAGGCAGAGTCATAATTCCACTAACTTGCCGCCCTCACCTCCCAACCTAGCCTCCCCCTCCCATGAATTTAGGAAGAAAGAATCCTGACACAGCCTCTGGGAGGACAAGGGCCAGGTGCTAGTTATGGGACAATGAAGTAATGCATGGAAGCATTTGGCACAGAGGAAGCACTCCATTAAGGACAGGACACTGACAATTCAATCTCTCCACCCCTGCCTACACCATCCCATTACTGACTTTTTGAAGTCCTGGAGCTCTGAAAGTGGAGACTGCAGCACCATAAGCCAAAGTCTAACACTGCTTCCAGACCAATGAGCACGAGGGAATAAACCACACCCAGATTCCCTTTATGGGACACCACCTCTAGCCATGATCCTTAATAGGGACCCTGGTCCAACATAAGCCTCAAGGCCAACATTTTGGGCAGAGACTATAGACTTCACTTTGCATGTATGTGGCTATTTCCTTCCCAGATTCCAGATGCTAGCAAACATCTTAGGGTTTGTGCAGAGGTTCTAAAAGCAAGGGAGGTGGTATCAACAATGGTGCTTTGTGGGTCAGTGAAACTCCCCAGGAGATGGCAAACCCACGTTGGGAAGGTGTACAAAGTTCACACCTGGCTGATGACACTCCTTACCTGAGCTAGGCCTAACACCATCTCATTCACAAAGGCCCTCTTGCACCCACCATGTCTTTGGCATGCTGACCATGGTTATACTCTACTAATCCTACTGCCTCTTCAACTTGAGGGCTGCGATGAGAGCACTACCCCCACAGAAGCTGGCAAATGCTATGATCAGGGTCATTTCTCTCTAAGAGTTGTTACTAAACATCTACTAGAGTGCTGCACTCAGTTCTAATTAGAGTCAAATGAACCTGAGCTAATTTCCCCACAGGTAAAATGGAGGGCTGGGGGTTGTAGCTGGGTGCTACAGCACTTGTCTAGCATATATAAGGTCCTGGTTCTACCCCCAGCATTGCCAAAAAAAAAAGAGAGTACAATGAATTGTACCTGACAAGCACTCAGTAAGCAGCATTGTAGTTGTCAGAGCAGAAGGGAACAGCTGAGGTAATGCAAGGGGATCAGAGGAAATGCTCAGAAACGCAATGGCTGCAGAAACCTCAGCAGAACAGATCCTTTCTGCTTCACTCTCTGTGCTGTGCCCCTCAGCACCTCCATCCTCATTCTGCAGGGGAAGTGTTCACATCCACTGGGACGCTACATGAATGAATGAGCTCTCTAATGGACTACTAAGGCAAGTCCTAGAAAGGCTATGTGAATAGCCAGGGGAGGAAAGCTACTTCTCTCCACTCAAGAGGTTCCCCATCAGGAACTAGAGAAATGGTTAGTTTGAGAGGAATTAATTTAGAATGTAACACATATGTACAGGAAAGCAATGCGAGTAAACTCCCTGTATAGCTATCCTTATCTCAACTAGCAAAAACCCTTGGTCCTTCCTATTATTGCTTATACTCTCTCTTCAACAAAATTAGAGAAAAGGGCAAAATAGTTTCTGCCTGGTAGCAAGGGGGTAGGGAGGGAGAGGGAGGGGGCGGGGGGGAAGGGGGGAGAAATTACCCAAACATTGTATGCACATATGAATAAAAGAAAAAAAAAAAGGTTCCCCATCTCCATACTTCAGAATCCATGTTCCTGCCTCAGGGATGAGAAACATTTACTAGGACTTGATGATTCCTGAAAGGCCAGAGTGGGTCACTGGTGACAGACACCAATCAGCACTGTGGGTTCTAATACTAACTGGCATTTTAAGGAAGGACGTACAATTGTTATGAACACATTCCCACATTCACCTAATAGTACTGGAAGACTCAGTTCAGTCCAGCTCCAGAACTGGGAAAGTCACTTTCACATCTTTGGGCCTTAGAATAACTAGCTGTTCAGTTATAAATACACTACCCTTCCAACTTGCCAGCAAGTTGTGGCTACAGATTCTTAAATGCATATAATGTACACAAGAGCACCCAAAAAAGATCAAGGACAACTGTGTGTAGAGGATACCACCTTTAGTATTATAAAAAGGGGAGGAGGATGGGTAGGAAAAATAAGCTTTTTTATTAATTTGGGACAGGGTCTCCTTATGTAAGTCCAACCTGGCCTTGAATTTTTGCTCCTCCTGGGTGCTGGGATTACAGGCATACACCATTGCTCAGAAAAAACTATAAATTTTTGAAAGAATACTTAAAAAGTAGTAACACTGGTTGCTCCCAAGGAGAGGCACTTGATAGCTGGGGATAAGTGTGTGTGGAAGACCTTTCCTTGTATACCCTTTTGAATTTTGAATCATGGGAATTTACTACCTAAATACACAAATCTTTTATTAACTATAAAGGACTATGTAGGTTGTGTAATGATTATTGTTCCAACTAATGATGATGTTAGAAGTGATGAGTTCCAAAAAAGGGATCAAGTATTACTAGGAAATGAGCTAAGTGAATCATGGTACACACTCAATTCTTTTACTGTGTCACCAAAGTCAAGACACCATCTTATCAAATACAATTCCATTTTATGTACAACCAAGATATAAAATGTGCTAGCAATGAAACTAGCACTAACTGCTCTCTTTAAATCTAAACTTCAACTTCATTTTAAAATAATCTTTATTGAGAGAACTCTTTCAGGTTCACATAGGCGTAGCTTTATTTGCTTTTTTAAGTTAAGTGTTCATATTACATGTGTGAGACAGGAGATGAAAATGACTTATTCAGGTGCTCCTAAACTTCTTTCCACTCAGCATCCAGCACCAAGTCACTGCCATCTACATGGTACTGTCCTCTCCCTTTTGAGGCCACAGCAAACCAGCTATTTTTGGCTCCCTGCGCTATGGTTTCTGGAGTTTCCTTCAAGCCACTGACACCAACCTGCTAAGGCCAAGGACACACCTTCCCTTGCGCCAACTTGGGGGTCACGCCTTCCTTCTGGGGTCTGTGAAGCATGTGACTGCTGGGCATGGAAAAGGAAACTGTCTTTATTTGCTCCACTCATGAAGCTTTACTCTCTATTGTTTTGTTTCTTTTCAAAGCTCAATCACAGCATCTTTGTTGGTGGTGGTGGTACTGGGGTTTGGACTCAGGACCCTGGGCTTGCCAGACAGGTGCTCTACTACTTGAGCCATGCCCCAGCCCCTTCGCTTTATGTATTTTATGAATAAGGTTCTGCATTTATGCCCAGGCCAGCCTGGACCTTGGTCATTCTAGCCTTCCTGCTTAGGTGGAATGACAGGAATGCACCACGTCCAGCTTTTATTGGTTGAGATGAAAGCCCAGGCTGGCCTGGAACCTGCATCAGGAGATCTCTACCTTCCAAGTAACTAGGATTACAGGCGAGCACCATGACATCCAGCATTCACAGAATCTTTTTAAAGTATTTAAACTTAACACACATAGTATCAACAATGCATTTAGCTTAACTGAACTGCCATGGAGCTCACACATATAGGAACAACTAAGTAACAATTGCTGCCTAGGACAGGAGCTATGAGAAGCATTAGTGACTGTAAGAAACATCCTAACTTCAGAGATATCAAAATGCTCCTCAACCCATACTTGCCTGATTTTCCAAATTCTCTTTAAAGAACAATTAGTACATTTACAATCAGGAAAGTTCACTGAACTTTTTTGGAAAGTTAAATCAAGTATTATGCAATCAGACTAGATTTGTGGTTCAAGTAGTAGAGTGCCTGCTTTGCAAGTGTGAAGTTGAGTTCAAGACCCAGTACCACCAAGAAAAAAAAAAAAAATCAAAAGGAGAGGTATTATGTAATTGCTAAAAATTAAAGTTTTTAAAGACTATAGAATGATATGAGAAAAATGTCAATACACTATTAAAGGAAAAGGTAGAATATAAACTTTGATTCATCTCATGACTATCACAATCAGAAACACATGAACAGTCAGGTGCCACTGGCTTACACCTGTAATTCTAGCTACTTAGGAGGCAGGAATCAGGAGGATTGAGGTCTAAGGTCAGCCTAGGCAAATAGTTTGTTGGTCCCTATCTTGAAAATACCTAACATGAACAGGGCTCGTAAAGTGGCTCAAGTTATACAGCACCTGCCTAGCAAGTGTGAGACCCTGAGTTCAAACCCAGCCCCACCAAAAAATAAGAAAGAAAAAAACACACAGTAAACACACTGGAAAGAAATCCATCAAAATGTTAGTTATGATTTAATGACAGGGACAAAGATAACCTTTTATAAAAGTGGTGTGGTCTGGGGATGTAGCTCAGTGATAGTGCACTTGCCTAGTATTCACAGACCCTGGGTTCAATCTCCAGCACCAGAAAACCTAAAAGCAAAAAGCAAAGACAACCAGTCACCACCACCAACAAACTGCCTTTTCTGGGTATTTTCCAAATTTTCTATAAAGTACATGTATTGTGGACTGGCAGAGTAGCTCAAGTGATACAGCGCCTGCCTAGCTAGCACGCCTGAGACCCTAGGTTCAAACCCCAGATCCACAAAAAAAAAAAAAAAAGAAGAAAAGGTGCATACATTCCTTCAAATAGCATAAAAATTATCATTAGTTCTGATTTTACTTACTTTTTGGTGGCACTAGGGTTTGAACTCAGGGTCTCATGCTTGCTAGGCAGGCACTTATCATTTGAGCCACTCTGCCAGCATTAAAAATTAATATTAGCATAAAAATAAATGAAATGTTGTCACATAAAGCCCTGCCCCTGTTGAGAACACTTAGAGGACCAGGTGAAGTGGCGCATGCCTGAAATCTCAACTACTCTAGAGGTGGAGATCAGGTTTGCAGTTCAAGGTCAGCCAGGGAAAACAAAAAAGTTAGAGACTCCATTTCACCAACAGGAGTGGTGGTACACATCTGTAATCCCAGACACATGGGAAGCATAGGTAGGAGGATTGTAGTCCGAGGCCAGCCTCAGGCAAAAAGTAAAACCTTATCTGGAAAATAACCTAAAAGCAAAGGGCTGCACTTGTGGCTCAAGTGGTAAAGTGTTAGTCTAATAAGTATAAGGTCCTGAATTCAAACCCTAGTATTGCAAAAATACTATTTTGAAATATACCCATATTTTAAAAATGTGTATTCTGGTTTAATTGAAGGAAATATTTCTACTGATAAAGTAAAAAGTTCACCTAAAAACATTCAACTCAGCCAGGCTCCAGTGGCTCACGCCTATAATCCTAGCTACTCAGGAAGCAAAGATCAGGAGAACCTGGGTTCAAAGCCAGCTTGGGCAAATAGTTTGGGAGTCCCTATCTTGAAAAATATTCATCACAAAAAAGGGCTGGCAGAGTGGCTTAAGGTGCAGGCCTTGAGTTCAAGCCCAGTACAAAAAAAAAAATTAACTCTTTTGAAATTAAAAAAAAATTTTTGAGATAGGATCTCACTGTGCAGCCCAGGCTAGCCTTTGAACTTGCTATGTAGCCCAGGTTGGCCTCAAACTTGAGATCCTCTGCCTTATCCTCCCCCGCCAAGTGCTGGATAATGGGCATGCATCATCAGGCCCAGCTTGAAAAAGTTGTTGAAAAAAAAGGAGGGTGAAGTTGGTGGCAAGGGCTGAGGAGTAGGAACTGAGGGGCAGCTAGTGGACACAGTCCTGGAATCATTCCCACTTGCTGCCTATTCAGCACCCCCTCCCTTTCTTCTTCCTGAAGAACTCCTGGTCACTTCCAGTTGATTCACCCCCAGTTCCAGGTCTAAGAAGAATCAGACCCCTTATGGCTCACTGGTTCAAGAATGAGCCTTTAAGATGGTGCACGCCCATAATCCCAGGACTCAGCATGCTGAGGCAGGAGAACAGTGAGTTCAAGACCAGCCTGGGCTACACAGTAAGCCCCTATGTCAAAAAACAAAAGAAAACAAGTAACGAAAACAATGAGCATGGGACTTGAGGAAAAGGTGTAAAAAAAAGGTTTGCTGGGCTTTCTGAGAGCATTCGCCTAAGCTCTCCTGGAACAATCGTCTCCCTTCTCCCACTCGTCCAGTGGAGTATGTGGCCAGGGAAGCTCAATTCAGAGTCTCAAGGGAACAGAGCAAAAGCAGGGGACTGAGGTTCTCCAAAGTTCTGCCACAGGACCTCCAATTCCAAGCACAAGAACAATTAGGCCGCTATCACTCACAGTCAAGACACTGTAACTGGTAGTGTTCCAAGGGTTCCTTCTCATCATTATAGGCTATAGTTCTATTGGTTTTTTTCCTAGGAGTTACTTACACAATTTGCAGGATCCCATGCAAAATGAAAATGTGTAGTTTCTTACTCGGTAATTATTAAGAATTTCCCAATAGTGATACTGGGGCATAAAACCAAGAGAAGGGCCCTCTTAAGCCTCTGAGCCTGAAAGTACACCCACCTATGAGGCCAGTCCTGGCTCCTTCCTCTCCTTGATTCCCATCAAGGAACTCTTTCCCTAGCCTTATGACTGCAACTACTTTGATTTACAGTAGCCATTTCATCTACAAAGTCCAAACTTTAAAAAAAAAATGAAAATTTATTTATTTTGGACATGATACTTTACTGAGCATGACGAAGATGATTAAGGGGGGATAGCACAGAGGGAAGCCCTCACTAGTGCAGGGCCTGCCACTTGTTCAGTAGGCCATGGATTAGGGATAAATTTGACCCACTGGCTATCAAGGATGAGCCACTTCTCAACTCCTTTGTCTTCAAGTTCACCTGCATTAAACTTGGTAAAGCCCTACTTGTTTGAGATATAGGTCTTCTGGTGGCCAGGGAAACTGAACTTGGCCCTGCATAGGGCCTCAATCACATGTTGTTTATTTTGTAGCATAATGTGGATAAACATGATTAACTGGCCAAAATGAACCCTAGCCACTGTGCCCTGGGGCTTCCCAAAGGCACCCTGCATACCTGCTTGGAGCCTAGACTGGGGGCAGTGTGAGATCAGAGACCGAATACCCATTGGAATCCTGTCTCCAAGGTCCCTTAGGGTAACCCACACAAGCAACAGGCTGCATACACTACCCAGTCCCCAGGAGTAAGGGAAACTGGCTGAATTAGTTGCATAGAAGACTTTTTTTTTCAAGTCCTCCTTTTCATCAATTTTGCCAGCCTGCATGGTCAAACACATAGGTTCAAACCTATATACCTTGTCTCCCACTCCTACTCCCTGCCTTCCAAACTTCTGCTTCCTCATTCTAAGCACCACCACCACCATCACCCAGCACCCACCACCACCACCCAGTGCCCACCACAACCCAGCATCCCATCTTGTGCATCTTCCTCTGGTCCAGTCAATGCCACCTCTGCTGAGGTTGTCCAAGCACTGCTCTTGCCTGGTATCCATTCTGTGATCATTAGCTGGGCAAAGCCTTTGCTGGAATTTCACACTTCAGGCCACACATACCACAGCCAGAAAGATGTTTTTATAGCATGAACCTGAGCACTTTATTTACTGCTTCAGAGTCCTAGGATGACAGATGATCCCCTTTAGAGGAAAAAACTGGTTAAATTTACCTAAGTCATTTATTAAAAAAAAAAAAAAGGGTTATAGGGCACTGAAATCCTCAGTTGTAATTCCACCAAACCTAATAATCTAAATTAAGATAAAGGTTTATTTGAGCCATCACTCAGTGGTAAGAGGATTGAGAATCTGAGACTAGCACGCAGCTTTGGCTACATAATGAGACCCTGTCTCAAAAAAATGTAAGAAAGAAAGAAAGAAAGGGAGGGAGGAAGAGAGGGAGGGAAGGAAGGAAGGAAGGAAGGAAGGGAGGGAGGGAGGGAGCGAGGGAGGGAGGAAGGAAAAGGGCTCATTTCATTTGGGCAAGTGCCTAGAGTTCCTGAGGTGGAAAGATCACTTAAGCCCAGGAATTGGAGGCCAGTCTGGGTAACACAGCGAAACCCCATTTTAAAAATAAATTAATAAACCAGGCACAGTGGCTCATGGCTATAATCCTAGCTACTCAAGAGGATAAGAGAGTCAAGGCCAGCCTGGGCAGAAAGTTTGAGCAATCCCATCTTAATCAATAAAAAGCTGGCATGCACCTGTCATCTTCAGCTATGCAAGAAGCATAAATAGGTTAGAGGTCCAGGCCTACCAGGAATAAATGTGAGACCCTATTTGAAAAATACCGATAGCACAAAAGGGCTGGGGGCATGGCTCAAGTGGTATACCTGCTCATCACATCACTATTTACTAAATGAAGAATTGTAATAAAAACAATGAGAATCAATTCATATCGACTGCTTGGCATGTCAATCATGCACTAAATTTATATGTGTGTGTGTGTGTGTGTGTGTGTGTGTGTGTGTGTGTCATTTAATTACCAACTCTAAACATGTCGCCCAGGAAGGCAATGAATAAGTGCCTTGTCAAGGTCCCTTTGCAAATGTCTTGCTTTTTTACCCACTCCAGGTAATGATAAATGAAGTTACTGGCTGTGTCCTTGTTGAATGCTAATGTTAAAAATTAGGGTCATAGCCAGGCACCATGGCTCACATCTGTAATCCTAGCTACTTGAGAGGCTCAGATCAGCAGGACTGCGGTTTGAGGTCAGCCTGGGCAAATACTTTGTGAGACCATCTCCAAAATAACCAGAGCAAAATGGACAGGAGGTGCAGCTCAAGCAGTATTGTCTGCCTTTTTTGGTGGTACTGGGGTCTGAAATAAGGACCTGCACTCTACCACTTGAGCCACTCACCAGTCCTCTTTTTTTGTGTGTTGGGTATTTTTGAGATAGGGTCTCTGGAACTGTTTGCTTGGGCCGGCCTGAAACTGTGATCCTCCTGATCTCCACCTCCTGAGTAGCTAGGATTACAGGAGTAAGTCACCAGTGCTGTGATAAGAGTGCCTGTTTGAAAGCACAAAGCCTTGAGTTCAAATCCCACTTCCACCAAAAAAAAATTAAGTGTCATAAATAGTCTTTCATATTATGGAAAATGTGGGACACAAAATACAGACAATTCTTTAAATATGGTAAAAAGCCTGGAAGTACACATGCTTTTCCCAATTTCTAGTTTAACTACTGGACTCCTACAAGGACTCTTTACTCCAGGATCTCGGTGGTTCACGTCTGTAATCTTAGGTACTTAAGAGGCTGAGAGAAGAGGAAGTTTAAGGCCAGCCAGAAAAAATCTTGAGAGCCCCCCACACCTCCAAAGTAACCAAAGACAAATAGACCAGACGTATGGCTCAAGTGGAATGGCTTTGCAAGACTGAGAAGCCCTGAGTTCAAAACCATGCCACCAAAAAGAAGAAATCAGTTAAATGGGTTGCACTGCAGCCAGCATTTTTAAAAAAATGACATAGAATATGATAATCAGTGTCTCTCACAT